GTCTAGTCGTAGTATATATATATATATATATATATATATATATAGACGAAATCAAGCTAGGAAACAAAATAGAGAAAAAAACGAGCTGGTACGTGTAGGGGAATGTACAAACAACTTTCGTTTCTGCCGCGGCCTGTGGGGTGGTTCTGTCTTCCTTGGATAGGCACGGTGTAAACGTCAGCAGGTTGCGCACGGGAAATGGCCCTGCTGCTGCAACAACAAACGAGCAGATGCGAGAAAAAAAAATGGCAAGTGTGCGGCGAGGGAAGAGAAGAAAGAAGACAGTGGAATCAGAAGGGAGAAACAAACAATCAATAGGAGAAAAGAGAGAGAAATTATTTTGATGTTCTGCGTGCGTGGCGCACGAGTAACGCAGCCGTGCATCTCTCTTCCTTTGCTTTGTTTTCTCATTTTTTTTTTAGTTGAAACAGCGCCCCATCATCGCCCACGTCCAACACTCCTATTTTGATCGAATCGCGCATCGCTGTGCGCCCTCGACGGGAGCCGAAGAGAGAGAGAAAAAGAAGGGGAGGGTGCTGTGGTGTGCTCTACGGGCCGGTACGCCGCCATTTCATTTCAAACAGCAAAGAGGAAAGGAGAAACGAATAGCAACGGTCATTTGAATTACGGAGTAGAGCGGTGCGCTCCAACTGAACACTTGTTTAAGAAAGGAGGAAAAAAGGGAACTTGTCGCTACTGCTGCTGCTGCTTGCTTGTTGGATCGTTAATAAGTGAAGTTTCTCTCTCTCCCTCTTCCTCTGTGTGTGTATGTGTGTGGAGTTCTCGTGGGTTTACGTCTCATCCGCACAGGACAACAACGAACACAATGCGCACATCTTGTCGACGCAGACACAGGGGCAGTGAAAGAGAGAGAGAGAGAATCGAATAGGCTCTTCGAAGACGAACGGCACCACGAAGCTCTCGCCACCCCTCTCCTCTCTCCTCTCTGCGGAGGGGATTTTAGCGTTGGTAGACGGGCGATGGGGAGATAATAATAAAAAAGAAGATATGGAAATAGCGTGCAATCCAGAAAAACAAACAAAAGGAAAGGCGCATGAAGAAGTGAAAGGATGCTTAACACAACGAAGCAGAACAATAGGGAAGAAAAACATATATATATATATATAATAGTGACGGGAAGCGAGGGAACACACACATATATTATCTACTTGGGTGACCTTCTCAGTCCGTCACGGCGACGCCGCGCGCATTCAAAACCATCTCATCCGCCAGCAGCCTGAACATGTCCTTTGAAAAGTAGTGGCCCATGTGGGGGAAGATGACCAGCTTCGACCCGTTGATGCACTCCGCCAGGTGCCGGGCGTGCCGCACGGGGATGGTCGGGTCCCTTCCCCCGTGCAACACCACCACCGGAATGTGCGACGCCGTCGGCGGCAACAGCGACGATGGGGTACCGGTGACCCGCTGGGGGCCCTCGACGCGGTTCAGCTGCGTCCTCAACAGCTCGCTGCGATCGGGCGAGCGGACGATGGCGGCGAGGTGGCGACCCGCGCCGTCGTGGTAGTTCGAGCGCACCACGTCCCACCACATGCCGATGCGAAACTCGTGCTCGTAGAACTTCATATCTCCCGCCATCGCTTTATAAAGACGTACGCGGTAGTCCAGCACACACTGGACGTCGTCCGGCGACTCCGGTCCGTCCAGCATGTTGATCAGCATCCCGGGCTTCGGCCACGGCGCCCCCGTTGAGGTGGAATGCAAGCACAAGGAGGCGACTACTTCGGGGTGGTGCAACGCCACCAGCTGTGCGATCATGCCACCCATCGAGCAGCCGACAATGTGCGCCTTCTTAATGTTGAGTGTGCGCAGCAGCCCCACGGCGTCGTCAGCCATGTCATCCAACGTGTACGCCAACGGTACCTCGCCGAGGGAGGCCCAGGCTGGCAGAGCCAAACGAAGAATGTTCGGTGCCGGGTACCCATCAAAGTGCGTTGACAGCCCCAGGTCGCGGTTGTCGTAACGGACCACGTAAAAGCCCTTGTCGGCGATGTAGCGACAGAACCGTGTGTCCCAGTAAGTGCCGGGGCTGCTGAGGCCCATGATGAGCAGCATGCACGGGTTGCGTGGATCGCCGAAGGTGTTGTAGCATATGGTGATATCTTTTTGGGTCGTGCGGCAGCGGCCGATCTCCGCAAACTCATCTTTGGGGGCCATAGTGAAGATGGAGTCCAGCTCGGCGAGCACTTCAGGTGGCAACACGGCCTTCTTCTTCTCGAAGGGCTGCTCCGGCGCCATCATGGATGTCATTGTCAGACCCGAAGTTAGCGGTTCACCTTCTCTGCTCTTTGCGAAGTAAAAAGTCTGTCAGCGAGTCACGTAGCACAGCTTTCATGGTAGGTGACACGGTGAACTCTGCGATATGGAGCTGATTTTTTTTTCTCTTTCTTCCTTTCTAGTTAAGTACGTGGTAACTGTGGCCTGCAAGTTGGAGTTTGTTGTTGTTGTAGAACAGGTAGAAGAGAGACGTCACGCAAAGCAGTTAGAGCAAAGATCGCGAGCACAACATCTGCGGGTCGGAGAACGCCTCGCAGCGACCAACAAAAAGGAAAGCGGGCGCGTTGGCCTTTTTCAACAGTTCAAGCTCCAACACTGTGTTGGACACTCGTGCCGCATCGTTGCAGGAGCAGCCCACACGCGAATCAGACCTCAAGAGAGAACACCAAAAAGGCTCTCTACGGCGTTACCCGACAGCGCCACATGTTTTTTTCTTTCTTTCTTGGTTTCATTTGCATGCACTGACAATCTTCCTTTCTTCTTCTTCACGTCAGATAATTGCGCTGCGCGCGGGGTCGCTAAATAGTAAACGAAATAATAGTATTAACAACAAAAGCAGGCGGATGTGTGCGTCGCTTACTTGCTTTCTTTCCGCCATTCCCTCTTGACGGAGTTCTCAATGAGCTGTCAACGGCCTCACAGCTTCGACGCAACCGCCGGCCTCGCCGCGCTCTTCTTCTTTTTCGCAGCCGCGGCAGCAGCAGCCACCGCCGCCTTCCGGGCAGGCGACCGCGACGCCGCCTCTCCCACGCGGATGTTATCACGGATGAGTCGCACGTAGGTGTCCCTCAAGGCGGGAATCAGCGTGTGGCCCATGCCCTCCATCACGTACAGGCGGCTGCCTCGGATGATAGACGCGAGGTGCTTCGCATTCCCAGCCGGCACCAGCGGATCACGATCGCCTTGGATAATAATCGTTGGCACGTACAACGGAGCGGAAGCGGCGACGTGAGACGGAATTGGCGGGTTACTGCCACCGACTGGCGTTGTCTCGCGCGCCCCTCCCGGAGGGACACTCGTGATGCAGCGCTGCAGATCTTCGTCACGGCTCGGCGCGTTCAGCAGCGCCAGGAACTGCCGCGGGCCGCCGTTCACGTAGAGGCTACGACGAAAGACCCGCGTCATCTGCCGCTGGGCGGCGGCGCGGTCAAATGCGTACTTCTTCGTGTCCCCCGCTAACCTCTCCAGCAGCTTCGAAAAGCTGGCCGCGTACACCTCCACCCGCTCCGCGTCCCGCTCGGCACACAGCCGCTGGCGCTCCTCCGCGTTGGCTGCGCCGGCGATCCGCGCCGCGTACTTGGCAGACGTGGACTTGGGCATCAGCGCAATGAAGCTCATCATATCGCGCAGAGAGGGCCACTGGGTGTGCGGGGAGTTCGTGTGCGTCGACAGCAGCGACAGCGACAGCACCCGCTCTGGGTGGCTGATGGCCATGCACTGGATAACCGTTCCACCCATCGACGTACCCACCAGGTGGCAGGCGGCGATGCGCAGCGCATCCAACAAGCCGAACGCGTCGGCCGCCATGTCCATCAGCGTGTACACCTCCGGTATGGTCCGCTTGCCGGGTCGCAGCACCGCATAGGCAAAGCGCATGTAACTCGTTGACCCGTGCGAGACGGTCTTCCCAGCGGTGTCGTCGTCGAAGTGGGTGCTGCAACCCACGTCGCGGTTGTCGTAGCGGACGACAAAGAACGGCCCCGCGAGGGCGAGGGTCGTGCACCACCGATCGTCCCAGAAGAGCGCGGGGGAGGCGAGGCCGACAACCAGCAGCACACACGGGTCGCGGGAGGAGCCAAAGGTGTTGTAGCACAGTCGCACACCGCGCCCGGTGCTGCCGCAGCGGCCGACGTCGGCGAACTGATCGCGGGGCCGCAGTGGGGCGTGCGCAGCACGTGGCTGATCTCGCGGTGTGGTAGAAGAAGAAGGGGGTGGCATCGCTGAAGGAGTAAACCGCCGTGCGGGTGGCGTCGCTATCCGGCCGTCTCTCTTCTTTCCTTTCCTGCCGCGTGTGAGGAGTGAGTTCAGAGTGCGCAGCGGCTGTTTGCCTTCACGTTTTACTGCTATTTGAAATGGCGATACGTATCGAGCGAACCGCCCACCATGAAATGAATCAGTTGTGCTTTTCCTTTTCGTGGGTGGCTTTCCAATAAGAATAATAGGCGGACTACACTGCGGCGCAGGCGGTCGGTACATGAGCCCGACGGCATACATTCAAAAGCCCCAAATGAATGTCAGATTTAATAATAAAAAAGGAGGTGAAAGGGAGAAGAAAAGGAGAAGATGCTTGTTTGTTTATCTTCCATCCTCAAGGAATCACCGCTAGAAGAAAACGGCGCGGTACCAACCCGGAAGAGAGTCAGCGATGGTGAGGTCGGCGGTCTTCCTTCAATTTGAATAAGGGCGTTGTCATTTCGCAGAGCAGGAATGTGCGAACGGTGTTAAAGAGACGGCGAACAAACGCGCCCGTCCCACCCGAAGTCCGTGTTGCCCGCTTGACGTGCGATTGGGCGTATTACAAAACTAAAAGGGTAAACAGTGTGCAGTAATAAGGAAAAAAAGAAAGGAGATGCAGAAGCGGTCATGCAGCCAGCTGAATTCGTCCTCACCGCTCTCGACACACGTGTTTCTTCCGCCACGATTACAGGGTGTGTGTGGGTGTGTGTACATCACAGGAGTGGCGGAGAAACGCATCTGCGTTGTCTTCTCTTCTCCTTTCCTTTCGTTTAAGATTAATGCAGCTGCACCGCGTTGAAGGATTAATAAAAGAATACTCACGCGCACTGACTCAACAGAAATATACCTGGGAAGCAACCTTTGCAATATATATATATATTCCTTTCCATAAACCACACCCCACACAGGCCCGCATTGGACGTCGTCGAACACGACCACAGCTGCGGCACAACGACACACGTTTCCATTTCTCACCGAGTACTAAAAGCTATGAAAAAGAAAAGTGGCGAGTGAGAGAAAGAGACAGAGAAAAGGAAAACAGCGTCAACAACAGACGAACGACAACAACAAACAACGCAGCACAAAGTTCGAACGCAGGCGAAGAAAGAAAGAAAAAGAAAAGGCTGTCTTTAAGAAGTTTCTTTTGATTACGGCCACCGCAGCGCGGGTGCCACGCCTATGTACACCGGAGCACCATGAAAATAATAAACTGGAAGGAAAGAAAACGCGAAGAAAAAGCCATCACGCAAGACAAACAGAAGAAGCGACGCATCGCTCAACATGACGGGGGGAAAAGGAAGAAGAAGAGGAAGAAAACTGCTTCGTGAGAGTTATGCTAAACGATTGGATTTGTTTTCCTTTCCTTTTCGCGCGAAGGAAGGCAACGCCATAAGACACATAGATACATATATGCGCGTGTGTGACGGTGCGAGGGCGAAGGTGGAAAACGCAAAAAACCGGCTCCCTTTACGCGCCCGCCACCATGCAGAGGAACAGCACCACTTCTTTTCTGCTTTGCTTTCTACAGTCACCCCGACGGCACCGCGTCCGTGAAGGGCATCGCGACGCCCAGAACAGAAGGAAAAAAGAAAAGCACACAGCAGGAAACCTTCACTGGAAGTTCTACCCAGCAAAAACAATACATAGATATATATAAAAAAGGGGGTGGAAGAGATAAGAGGAATGGACAGGGAGACGTAACAACAGAACAGAGAAATAAAAGGACAAAGCCTCTAGAGATTCACATATATGAGAAAACTGTAAAAAAAAAATAGAGAGAGATTACCGCCGCCGCCGCCGCGAACTGTCGTTGGTGCAGCAGGACCTGATGTTGCCGAATAATAATAATTTTCTTATCTTTTCAATGGTCTGCGTTGAATTTCCAAACGAGCAAAAAAGAACAATTCTTCCGTTTTCGACCTCGTGTTGGCTCCTATCCACGCACGCAGAACTCCGCGCCGGCACCGCGTGCGTGGAAGGACTCTGAAAAGGGAGAAGACACAACAAAACAAGAACAAAAACGACAGCGCAGGGAAAGCTTTCTTTTAGCGTTGACTTCAAGGGAGGGAGAAAAAAAGGAAAGGAAAGGGTAAGAATACGATGAAAGCAACGATGCCGCAGACCACACCGTCGCGCGCAGAGAAAGAACCGTATCTCGAAGCCTTCGTGCACGTTCCAACATCGCCACCGCTGCACAGCTCACCGGTGGAGCAATACAACAAGAAGGGAGCGAAGCGGAGGAGGGAGGGGAAGGAGGGAACGGCGAGGGACAACGAGGACCAACGAAGTGCATACTGGAGACACACGCACAACTAAATAACAATAACAATAAAACTGTGTGTGGGGAAAAAAAAATCAGAAACTCACGCCTGTTCATTGACGATGTGGGTGACGCGCTGACGACGACAAATAGAAACTTTGAGAGGAGGGAAAGAGAGCCGCGACGGTCGGAAAACGGAGGGGAAAGAAGTCAGCTTGCGGCCTCTAAGGCGGGGAAACAGAAGACAGATAGAAACAGATATAGAGAACATGTTATTTAAAAACATATATATATATATATGAAGTACTGCTCTTGTTCACATACAGCCATCAATCCAATTATTTTCTTTCTCTCCTTGAGCTACACAAGAAGGAGACAGACAGACAGAAAGAAAAAGAAAAAGAAAAGCTCACACGGTGTTGCGCACTGTGATCCATTTTTTAAAAGCTAAAATACATACGATTCGTACTCTCCCATAAATCAAAAGACAGTAGAAGAGAACAGCGAAGAGCATCGACCACTGAAACAAAAAGACAGCAGAAATAAGTATCAATAAAATAAAACAGGCGAGTTCATCACGTCGGCACAAGTCACAAACATTGAGGCACAACGACAGTCAGCAAAAAAAAATTGAGGAAAAGCAGGGGAAAATAAAGGCGCGCTTAAATATATTGAAGCACATCGGGGTAAGAGAGAAAGTAGGAGTAAGAGACACAACTGAAGCAAAAAAAAACAGCCGCGATCAACGCCGACTGCAGCTGCTCCGATGAGGTACTTGGTTACACTGAAGAAAGAAAGATGAGGAAGAGGTAAAAAAAAAAAAGAGGTGCGGAGCGCTGAAACCATTGAAAAAAGAAAAGCCAAAAAAAAAATGGGTTTGCACAAAAGAGATGGCAGACGCCTCAGCTACACGCAGTCGCGAGTCTTTGTAACTAATTGGTTTTTGGGGGGAGGGTCTTCTCACGCGCGTGAGATGCGTCGGTGTTCTCCGACAAGACAGATCAGTGTCAGCTTCGCTGCTTCCTCGTTTAAAGACTATTTGCTTTCTTTTCTTTCTTTTTCACCAAGCGAAAGGAAGCAATAAAAGATATAGAAGATTTATACTTTGATACACCGAACGATTTTCATATATACATGCATTATTCAACGTTATCCCATGAAAGCTTAGATGTACGTCTTGGGCACGCTTTCCGTTGGGTCGGCCAGCATGTCCTCCGCGTCCGCCACCATCAGCTCGAGCTTCTCCAGCTGACGCTGCATCATCATGCGCTGTCGCGGATCCTTCGCCTTCTCCAGGTCCTCGCGGATTTTCGGGATTGTGCTGGTGCCGTAGCTGACGAAGGCGCGTGTGCTGCCCACCTTTGGCCGCCGCGTCTCCGTCTTGGAGAAGCGCTGCAGCGTTGCTAAGTAATTAAACACCTCCTCATCCCTCACCGCGCACGAGAAGAGGGCCGTGGAGTGGACGGAGCGGTGGAGGGCGGAGTAGAAGAGCGCGCGGGGCTCGGCGGGGTTTTTGTCGAGGATGCGGTTGTAGTGGATGACGCCGTCGCCCACCCCGCTGGCGAAGATGGACGAGACAAGGACGTCCGGCTTGCCCGGCGACGGCGAGGTCTTCACCTGCTTCAGCACACAGGTGCAGAGCACGATACCGTGCTCCTCGACCATCGCACTGCACTGCTGCTGGGCGCGGTAGAGCGAGGACTCGAGCACCTCGTTGAACTCACCGGCATCCTCTACACAGACGTACACCATGCCGTTCGCGACATTACCGAAGAGCGGGCTCTCCGCCACCGTCAGCGTCACGAAGCGCTGCGGCTCGTCTGCCAGCAAGTCCATCACCTGATCATCCTGGAGGAGACAGACGGACATGGTGAACTCAAATGTGGTGGAAGCCAGCTTGCCGAAGGTACCTTTTACGACCGACTTCAACGCTAACCAGGTGAACCACTCCGTGGGGCGGGCGGACGTCATGCCCGCATCTGCCATGATCATGCCGACGTTGCAGCCATACACGAAGTTGTCGCGTATTTCCTCTAACGAGTCGCTCAGCAGCTCCACGTCCGTTGCGCGATTCGCAAAGATGACGTCGCGCATGTCGTACTTCTGCACCTCCTCCGCGCCAGGCTTCTCCACCCGCACCGTCCGCCCGTCCACCTCGATCGCCTTGTTTGTGCCCGCCGACGTGTCCAGCACAATCGACGCCTTCACCGTGTTCGTCAGCGACGGGTCACGCGCGCGGGCGTTGTTCTTGCCGAGGGTGCCGGTGTCGCCTTCCTTCTTGTATGTGGAGCCGTCCGCCACCTCGCCAACGTCTTTGTTCTTGAAGTACATTCCCACCCGCTTCTCACTCGCCTTGCGGGTTAGGTTTGACAGGCTGTTCTTGCGCCCGAGGACCATCGACTGGCCCTCCTCTACCACCGTGTTTTCTGAGGTGCCCTTCGGCGGAGCGGCACTCGGATCTCCCTCGAGACCACCACCACCGTTGCCGTTGCCGTTCGCCAGACGTCGCTGCATCATCATCTGCTGTGCCTGCGGTGTCATGACGCCCTGTCCTACGGGCCGCTGACTCATTCGGCCGTCAATGCCGCTAATCGTCATGGTCATGCCGGCCGGCGGACCCATCGGACCCATCGGGCCTACCATCCCCATCGGGAGGTTTCGTCGACCTTGCTGCTGCTGCTGCTGCTGCTGCTGCTGCTGCTGTAGGGGAGCGCAGGTCATCGGCCCCCCAAAAGCGCCCCCATTCGGGTTCACGCTATCCATGCAGTTATTATTGTGGCTGTAAAACTGGCCTGCAATGGAGTAGCTGCGCTGCAGGGACGTGGAGCTGTCCTGGCGGGTCAGCGTGGCAGGAGACATTCCCGCACTGCTGTCCGCGCCTCTCGGCACCGCACGGCCGCCACCACCGCTAGCAAAGTCGTGCGACGAGGAAGCCCTGCTGGCGATGCTGTTCATCGACATATTAGGCCCCAAACCCGTCGCACCGTGCTGCACGCTACCCTGCGAGAAACTGGGCTGCCGAAAGCTGCCGAAGCTGTAGGTGCTGCCCGCCGCGCTGTTCCGCCGGCTCAGCTGCTGCGGCTGACCGGCCGGCCCGGCATTTACCGGGCCCATAAAACTGTCGTGCCGCAGACTGCCGTAGCCGCTGTTGCTGCGCATCATCGGGATACCGCCAGCACCGCCTCCACCGCCAAGGCTCATCTGCGAGTTGCCGTAGTAGTCGAAGTTCAGTCCGCTGTTCATGCGGTGCAGGCTGCCCGCGCCGGCCGAGGAGAAGCTTCCGCCGGACTGGAAAGGGTTCGACGCGGAGCCAAAGCTGTTGAAGCGCGGGACGACCCCTGCGTATCCGCCACCGCCGCCGCCCTGTAAGGAGCTATTGCTGCGCATGCCAAGCCCCGCCCCGCCAAAGTTGTTTTGGTTGTGCATCATCATGAAGCTGGGACTGCGGCTGATCTGATGCAGAGCGCCGCCGGTGTTGCCGTTGATGACGCCGCCGCCAGCGTTAGCCGCTGCCGCTGCGCCACCGCCAGAAACAGCAGGGCCGTTCATCATGCCTGGAGTAGGAGGAGGAACGCCCATTGGACCCCGCAGGCGGGCCTGCATGTGAAGGGGTTGCTGGGGTGATTGCTGCGTCACGGGACCGCCTCCGTAGTTGCCCACCATACCGGGGCTCATGCCGTAGTACCCACCGTACATGGTGTGGCTCCAACTACAGATGTGTGTGTGTGTGTGTGAGTACGCTGTCTGGTCGTCTGTAAACTGAGGGTTTTACTGGTGGTGCTATTCTTTATTTATCTTTCTTCTGCCGGAGTGTATGTGTGCTTGTGTGTGTGGGTCAGAAGTAATGCTGTAACCCACACTGTCGTTGCTTGGATCGGTTGCTGCTGCAGATGCCGTGTGTCTATCTCGGGATGCGTCACCTCACCAGGTGCCACCTCTTGTTCTTTTCCCCTCGACGTCGTTCGTTCGTGTAGTAGGCGCTGTCGCACGTTGCTGTCACCATCCACTCTCCGTGCACCGTCGGTTTCGGACACCCGCAGGCATCCCCGTTCACCAAAGCAAAATAAAAGGAATGAAGAAGTGCAAGAGGAAGAATGAAAGGGCCGTCAGGGCAGCGTGTGTGTGGGAGAGGGCGGTGAAGAGCAGCATGCATCGCCCCATTGAGTGCACTCCACTCTGCTCCGGTACACCAAAACTGTGAAGGAGAGATCGATTTTTCCTCTCTCAGATCGGGAAAAAGAGCGCCGACGTCGCTGACGCCGCATCACCTTCGCATGTGTACTTCACGTTGCTTCACCGCGCGAGAGAAGTAGAAGAAACCAACGCGGTGGAACCTGCATATTATTTCAACTGTGTTTGCTGTTTGTTATTAGTTTTCCATTTGCGTTCAGCTGTAAGGGGGGGAGGGGCGGAGGGCTGCGTCAGAGCGTTCCGTCGAGGCGACGAAGCGATAGAAAGAGAAAATACGAAATAGAAACGGGCGAAAAAAAAGGGGGGCGGCGAAAAGCGGGCGGGTGGATCTTCCGGCAAAAATTGCCAGACTCGTTCGAAAGCCCCAAAAGTGAGGGGGAGGGGGAACAACGAGCTGAAAAACAGCACCGCCATTCTCCCTCATCTACCAACACGCGCCTCTCGCCTCTTTCACAGTCCGTGAGGGAAACAAAAGAGAGACGTGTACGCGCTTCTCGTCTCCGCTGCGAATAGCGGACGCCTTTCTTCGTTTTCCTGCTCCTGCAAGCTGCGCGGTACATCGTCTTATCTTCGTTGCCTTTTGGAAAGGAAAAACCGGAGTTGGAGCCGTTACCCAAAAAAGAAAAAGAGAAGAAAAAAGGGAGAGAGAGGAGGGAGAGAGAGAGAAGCCTGAAACCAACGTGAGAGAACAATTCCCACAATAACAATGAAGAAGCAGAAGAAGATAAATGTATATATATAGACGATGAAGCACCGATGGGAAACACTGTGTATACAGAATTCACACCACCACAGCCACAAGAGGGGAGGGGAAAAGAAAACAAAAACAAATAGAAGAAGATAGTTACGAGAAAGAACCAGTAAAGCACGGAGAACAAGAAACAAACCACCTCTACTCTGCATCGCTGCGGCAAACGCCGCAGCTTTACTATATATATAAATACAAAACGAAAACAGATGCGTGTCTGTGCGTGCACATACCACGATTTCTTTCCTTCTCAATTTCTCGTTCCTCTTTCGGACGATTTTTTTTGGTTTGGAGGGTTCGTCATTTTCTTTTTCCTTCTCTTATCTTTTCTCCATCACACTTTGTGGTCGCCGTTTAGCGTAAGAAGGAAGAAGAGATATTCAAAAAAAAAAGTTTTTTGCTTAGGAAATACTATGTCTTGATTCCATGCCTTGAATGAACACCGCTGCCGCCGGAAAGAGAAAGGGATGAGGGAAACAGAAGAAGATGTACGTGTGAAACCTCGAGAGAGAGAGAACTAACTAAAAAGCACGTAACAGCGGAAAAAATAACTTCGTCGATCACGATGATGAGAACCAAAAACACCAGCAAAATTAAAAGAGAGAGGGGGGAAGAAGAAAGAAACGGAATCAAGACATGCGCGTATTGATCAAACTGCTTTCAAAACGATAATAATAATAACGCTAGCAAGGCTGCCAAATGTTTTAGTTTGAAGCCGATCTTTTGTTTGTTTGTATGCAAAAGCAGATCACCACAAAAAAAAACCTGTCGATGTCGCGCCTTCTTGGATTCCGGTCTGTCTTCTTTCTTCTTCTTTTGTTGTAATCCACGTTGGTCCTCAGAGGAAATTGAATCCTTCAACACGAAATACATGAGGAGTGGTGCGGAACGGTTCGTAGCATAGTCCAGGTTATCTTTTTCTTCTCAAAAAAAAAAGAGGGAGGAGGAAACACGGTCTTTGCAGCTTGTCATGAGTTCGCCTTCCCAACCGTTTTCGCTCTTGCATCGTACTCATTCTCGATGTGTGTGTGTGTGGGTGTGTGCGTGTCTTGTCTCCTCCTTCTCCTTGTTCTGACTCCCCCCCCCCTTCAATCTCCTCTCTTGAGTGGAAATGAAAAAAAAGGGGGGGCAACACAACAGAGAAAGGAGTCTTCATTTTTTTTAACTTAACAAAGACACAAATCACAACAAGAGCGGATTGAAACGTTGAAGCAGCGGGGAAGTTACGCAACCAAAACAAACGCAGAATATAAAAGAGAATAAAAATAGAAATAAAAGGAAAATGAGAAATAGAGAGACAGGTGCCGTCGTGTGTGTGTTTTTCTTCTCTCTACCGTAATTGTTTACTCGCTTTCATGCAGATGTGTTTTATCGTGGATTCCTTTTTGTTTTGGTTATTGCAGCAAATATGGAGGTGGGGAAAGAAAAAAGAAGAGAAAGAAATGTTTGTGCGTGTGCGGAGAGGTACCGTTTTCCCCTCGTCTTTGTTTGCTTGCTTGTTTGTATTTGAGGAAGGGAGGGGGGGGGGGAAGAGTCACGCTGGGACGTTCGTAACATGAAAAGCAAGCACGGCCACAAGAGACGGCTAAAGGTACAATGGAAACGAGGAAAGAAATGGTTTTCAAAAACAGAGAATAGCAATAATCAAAAAAAGAACGGTGCGTTTTCGAAGTCCGCGTACTGCTCCACGACGGCTCCCGAATAAAAATGAGATAAATAAAGCGAGTTCTCTCTCTCCTTTTTGTGCTGCTCCGATGAGAAGACACGCCTCTCTCCCCTTTCTCCCTCGCCATCCTTCACTCGCGTGTTGCGACGGACAGCCCCCGCTTGTCCAAACGAAGCGCTACTGAGAAAAACCAAGAAAGCACGGAGAAGAGGGAGAGAGGAAAGCAAGGGTGTGTGATTGCTTGGCCATCACAGCCAGTCCCTTTCCCATTTCCTCTCACTTCGGCGTGTCAGAAGCACGATGGTGGAGAGAAGAACTTTACGAGCCCGTAAAGTAGATCGATCGTCGAAACCAATATAAAACTAGACTTGAAGTAGATTTTTAAAAAGGCATTTCGAAAGCGAGAAGGCTATAAAAAGCGTTTACTGTTCCTGCTCTCCAACGACTACGCTGGGTCATCGTGCAGGTTGCTGTTTCTCTTTCTTCCTCTCTTTCGCTCATTCGGTCGTCTGTGCGACGCCGTATTCCCTTGCTTTCACTGCAGCGTCAGAGCTGTGAAGGGGCGCCACGTGCACATCGCCGTTACAGTGGTGCGAAGCACGGTATTCGCGGCGCCGGCTGTCCTGCCGCTACGCAAATAGCGGGGCGACAGCACGGGCCCTGCAGAAGCAGCAGCAAAAAAAAAAACCGAAAAGGCGAAACGAGCGAGCTCACGGGTGCACGACAGGGAGGGGGCAGCACGCCGTGGAGGGAGAGTGTACAACGGAGGAACCACCAATGCGAGCGCGGTATTTGGGATGGCGGTTGGCGAAACCCGTGAGACGCAGGTGCAAAAAATAAAATAAACAAATAAAAGAGGAAGATCGAACGTAAACTAAGAAAACGGGAGGGTGAAAAAAAAAAGGTGTTTGCATTTTTTTTTAAGTATTTAATCATGACGCCGGTGTGTAACGTTCTGCACGGAGGAGGTGGAAATCCGCCTGGGAGGAAGTCACCACTGTTCAGGTACGCTGCGCATCTCTCTTTGGCTGGCACAGACAGCTGCTACTTGGTGTGTGTGTGTGTGTGTAGATCACGTTGCGCTGTGTTCCGGAAGACGCAAGGGAGGTCGTGGCGCCTGCAGTGTCCGATTTCATGGGCATGCAGTGGGCGTTGATTGCCTCGCAGAGCGCTAGGCGAAGAAAAACGGCAACACACGTGCGCATGCGTGTTCACACCCAAGTGAATTGGCAGAGCGCACGTGCCACCTTGAAGGGATCGCGCGCGACGCTGTGGCACAGAAGCGGCGCATGTTTGCCCGACGTGCGCGTGCGTCGGAGAAGCACCTGGGCAGTGTGTGCCGTTTGTGAGGAGAAGCAGCGGAGGAGTGCGAGGCGCAGAGGCGAGGCGGTCCGTCACGCACGCATTCATCACCACAGGCCGCGCATCCGCTCCCACTCACGCCGTGACCGCGGCCACCTCACGCAAAGAACACGAGGATCATCTCAATCGTCTGCAGGCACCACGCAGCCACAAAGAGACCGAAAGAACCGGCGTAGTTGAAGCCGTCCTTTATCTTGATCTTCGTCTCCACGCCAAAAGAGGAGACAGAGTACTTCTTGTAGTACACACCGGCCTGGCACGCCCACACAATCAGCGTCGTGATGAAGGCGATGACCGAGAACACACCAGGGATGATGCGCGACAGGCACTTGCACACCAGCAGTACCGACATAATCATCGACACGAGCGCCAAGAAGATGGAGATGATTGCAAAGGCGGCGGCGGCATTCATTGTGGAGCGGATGTTGGACGTCGGGAAGCCCTTGTTTGGCAGCTTATCCGGGTTCGCCTTGTGTGCGCCACAGCGCTTGTAGCCCCACATGGAGTAGCACAGCCGCGGCGACGTATTGACCTTCGACTTGTACACGTCGATGGGCGTGCCAACGACGCAGAAGAGGAAGATGATCGCCTCCAATATGAGGCAGATGATAGCAATAATCACGCTGGCGCCACCGCTGTTCTTCTCTGCCCTTTTCTCTTCCTTTTCTTCTTCCTTCTTCTGCTGTGCCTCTTCATCCTCCGGGTTGGGGGAGGGCTTGCTGTGCTCGGAGTTCGCCATGGTGGATGCAACGGCTGCTGTTGCGGATAACGATTATGCGCAGCTGCGGGGGTGTGTAAGGATTGCTGTGTTCCTTGGCGGTGTACGAAGCGAGCGGGTTTGGACGGCTGTGACTGAGAAGCGGTGCTCGTAAGCAAATAGGGAGGTAGAACCTGGGAAAAAGAGAGAGGAAAACAAAAACAAAACTAGCAAATCGTGGTTTTCTTTTGCTGGTATTGCCGTGGAAGGAAAATGTGAGGGAGGCGAGGGGGCGATGCAGGTGATCTCTGCGTGGCTTGTTCTATCTTCTGTGGTATGGGGAGGAGAAATCGCAAAGCAAATGAAGCGGAGGCGTGGGTGTGTGGTCATCCACAGCACGGAGAAGGCGCGTTGATGGAACAGGAGAAGGAAAAAGGAAGGCCACGAAGGAAGTCGACGATGGAAGGAAGAGAAAAGTTTTGCAAAAGGGAAATAACAGAGAAACCAGTCCACTTGTGAAACTCTACTTATGTGGCTGGGGTGCAGGATGAGGTCGAATACAGAGTGAACATAGAACGATGTCAAGCGCGGTATACCGCACAACACGCCACGTCTTCGTCTGCTCTCCCCTCACTTGCCCACATAGGTGCGCTTCCTGCGACATGAAAAAAAACTTCAAAAACTGCTGGAACCGGGTTGCGTTCCTGATTACTGGATGAGTGTGGTTATGGAGAAGGCTCCAGTTTCTCTCGTTGGTTTGCTTGTTTTTTGTTTAATCTGTCGTCGCTTTGAGATTGGGTTCTTTTCTTTTTGAAGAAAATGAGAAGTATTCAAGGGTACTCCAATTGGCCGATCTACCTCCCCCTTCCAGGAGCTCACCCGACGCGAAGGAAGGAAGAGGACGGGGGGAAGCGAGCTGTGCCCTCTCAAACGGGTATGTGTGAGTGTGTGTGTGTGTTGAGGTTAGTGTGTCAAGCCTCGCGTCCGCTTACTGGTGCCACTTTATTTGATATTGCCAAATAAAAATAAAAATGACCTAACTTACATAAACAGGGTAACAGACAATGGTAATTCGTGGGCATATATGGGGAGGGGGGAGGGGAACACAAACAGAACAATGTGAATTCCGCGAGGCTGACGGAAGCGCGCGGAATCAGCGTGCGCAACGAAGCGCACCCTTTTGATAAAATGATCTGTTGCCTCCCATTAAACTATTCTACTGGGTCCTTCCAGGGGCACGCACAGACAGAGACAGAGACACCGACACTGACGCGCACGCACACACACACACACACACACACACTATGACAAATCTACTGGAGGTAATTATTTGGTCTCTTGGGTACCCCGATGATAATAACAAAATAAAACAATAGTGTGAGGCTCACGTTTAGATACATTTTGTTTTTTGAAATCTTTTTTTCCCCACTCACGAACCTCAATAAAAATCTTTTTGAAACAAATGAGGGGAAGCCGCTCCTTTTTCGAAACACTGCTGCAAAAAAAAAGGGGGGGTAGAACAAACGCCCATACGTGTATGGGTCCGTTCTCAGCTCTGTCTCTCGCGGCGAGGGCGCCACACAGCACACTCCGTACTACGCAGTGTTGCGTGACCCATGCACGCTCCTCTATCTTCCACACGTTACGTGACAAAACAATTTAAAAGAAGAAGAAGAGAGCGGAAGTCATAAAAGAAAGTGGAGATGATAATAACGAAAGCAAATCACAAAGAAATTTAAATAGAACTTTTTTTTGCCGTGGCTTTCTTGTGGTTTGATTGACTATTTTAGAAAACGGAAAATATATATTTGAAAAAAGGGCGAAGTACGGATGCAACAGAAACGCGTGGGGGTGTGTTGCAGGCTTGGGCGAGGAGAGAAGAGAAGAGAGCGTGCGTTCGTGAGGGCGAGCCGGAGAACGCAATATCGTACGGGAAAAAAAAAGGAGAGAAAAAAAAAGAATCGGCGACACATTGAAGGCGACGTCAGCGTTTTTTTGTTGTTGTTTGTTTCCTTTCCAAAACAGAGTATTCGCAGACGTCACCCAGAACACATTTAAAAGCCACTAGGGAAAAAGTTCACATAACATCTCGTTTGATTGAATGCGTCCACCTTTTTTTTGTTTATTTTGAATTATTTTCTTCCTCTGTCTACGTTTCCGGCGTACTCGTACACGTCCTCAGAAAAACGGCAACACACGTGCGCATGCGTGTTCACACCCAAGTGAATTGGCAGAGCGCACGTGCCACCTTGAAGGGATCGCGCGCGACGCTGTGGCACAGAAGCGGCGCATGTTTGCCCGACGTGCGCGTGCGTCGGAGAAGCACCTGGGCAGTGTGTGCCGTTTGTGAGGAGAAGCAGCGGAGGAGTGCGAGGCGCAGAGGCGAGGCGGTCCGTCACGCACGCATTCATCACCACAGGCCGCGCATCCGCTCCCACTCACGCCGTGACCGCGGCCACCTCACGCAAAGAACACGAGGATCATCTCAATCGTCTGCAGGCACCACGCAGCCACAAAGAGACCGAAAGAACCGGCGTAGTTGAAGCCGTCCTTTATCTTGATCTTCGTCTCCACGCCAAAAGAGGAGACAGAGTACTTCTTGTAGTACACACCGGCCTGGCACGCCCACACAATCAGCGTCGTGATGAAGGCGATGACCGAGAACACACCAGGGATGATGCGCGACAGGCACTTGCACACCAGCAGTACCGACATAATCATCGACACGAGCGCCAAGAAGATGGAGATGATTGCAAAGGCGGCGGCGGCATTCATTGTGGAGCGGATGTTGGACGTCGGGAAGCCCTTGTTTGGCAGCTTATCCGGGTTCGCCTTGTGTGCGCCACAGCGCTTGTAGCCCCACATGGAGTAGCACAGCCGCGGCGACGTATTGACCTTCGACTTGTACACGTCGATGGGCGTGCCAATGACGCAGAGGAAGAAGACGATCGCCTCCAATATGATGCAGACGACCGCCAGAAGGACACCGGGAAGGCAAATCATGTTCGAAGCGGCAAAGGCGAAGACGCTTACGAAAAGTCGAGGGGATCGAGGAAAATGAGAGGATGCAGCAGCACTCAGAGCGTGGAACTAACGGCAAGAAGAAAAAGCCTACGCGCGATCTCGCCGGCACGCTGCAATTGGGTGAATATGGAGGTGGAGGGGGGAGTTCGTTTGTGCTCCTGTTGTTCGGGAGACGGATAACCGGGGAAGGGGGGCGGGGGGGGGGGGCAATGTGGCTCATCAACGTTTTTAGGCGCCCACGACAACACAAGAAGTCGCACACACACACACACAACGATGGATACGGGTATGAAGCCAGCGAAGAAAGTAGAACGCAGGCGGTAACACAGGTGCACAACATGAACGGTACAGCGATGATTCAGATTATTTAAAAAAAAAAGATAATCAGCAAGAGAGAGGAAGAGGGAGGAAGATGAGGAGGAGAAGCAAAGAAGAAACCTTCACAAAGGCCAACGCGCACTGCCGCTCCGTGAAGTCCACTCAGCCCTACACTTCACAGCGCTCAGCCGACCTGCGGAGATGAACAAAGAAAGCAACAATAGAAGGAGGAGAAGAAAACACGTTCTTCGTGATCCAGCGACGGATGATTCGAAAGACAACAAGAGCAGCTACATATTTCCTTCTTCTTCTTTTTGGGGGTCTTGTTGCGCTTCTCATGCATTATTTTGTTCTTTGCTGTTGTTGGATGAAATCAAGAGGAGCTGCACAACACCACACTCGCAAGACAATGTAACACGCGCCAACCGCACAAAGACAGCGGATACATGGGAGAGAAAAAAAAAGGCAATGAATACGTATACGGAGGTCCGTCCCCCAGCCAAACAGGAAGCGAAGACGAAAAGAAGAAAAGGAAAAGAAAGCTCATCAACGCAACAAGAACTTGGAGTACGGCACGCTGTTTGCCAACGACGTTCAAAACGAATCCATACGGCACTTTCGACAGCACGCACGCACACACACACACACACTCGACATGGTTGCCAAACTCACCTGCCCAGTGAAACACAAAAAGGAAACAGAATCGCCGGTACACCTGCGCCTAACACTTCGACTGTCGTTGGCTTTATTTTGCCCTGTTTAGTAGCCGCCTTTGCACAGGCCCTCGCCACCCATCCAGCGGCCCTCGCTGTCCCTCTTCTTCACAAACGTGTCCGACAGCTCCGTGTGCTTCCAGTACTGCGCCAGCGTCCGAGCAGTCCCCATACCGTAGTACGACTTCCACACGTTGATCTCGCGCGTCGCCGCAGCCATCTCGTCATTCACAATCAGCCGCAACTCCGGCGGCTCCACAGGCGGCAGCGGCTTCAGCGTCTCCTGCCCACTCGCCGTCACGTAGCCGCGCGACACCAACTCCTGTACCCACGGCTGGGCACGACGCAGCAGATAGAGGGTGCGGCGCTCCGACAGAATGCGGCGCCGTGCCTCGACTTCTTTCATAACAGCAAAGTACTTCGGCGTATTATCCCTTCCGTAGTGGTGGAAGACGTCCGACTCCGCAGGGCCGTAGATGTCCCAGCCACCCGTCCACATCCGCGCAGAAAACAGCACCTCCTCGCCATCAAACAGGTACGGCAGGAAGGGGTCGAAGGGCGTGTCCAGCACGTACTGCGCATCGCCAAACATGAAACCAGCCGCGGCAAAGCCTTGCAAGATTGGACGCTTCTCGACGCGCCGCCAACGCGCACCCAGCTTCGGCATCCCATTCGCCAGCACCTGCGCCGTGCACATCAACATAAAGTCACGCTTGCCGTATTCTTCTCGCTCATGGCCCTCGCGATAGCCGTTCGGGTAGTAGGACAGCACGCCGGGCGTCGGCAGCTGGAAGATGCGCGTGATCAGCTTCGCATCCCAGTGCACAGAGAAGCGCGTGTGGCTGTCCACAACCATGAAGTAGTCCTGGTCGAAGAAGAAGAGACTCGTGATGTAGCGGCCAAACGTCGGCCCACGCGCCAGCTCCGGCAGCGTCACACGCGTCGTCACGCGGCACCCGGCCAGCGCGCGCGACGGCTGCTGCTGCAGCCCACCGCGGCCTCGCCGAAACACCGTCCCGCCAGTCGCCTCGCGCTTCACGTCGTCCTCGTGCAGCAGCAGGCGGTCACGCAGCGTCTCGAGCTCGCCGGCCACGCAGGACAGGCGCTCCTCCGCGTAGGAAGGGTGGAGGAAGATGCCCGCGGGGTACGGCGCGGACGGGATCGGGTTGGATGCGTTCATCGCGACGTCCACGTCGAGGATAGTCCGCGGGAACACCACGTCTGCCCAGGTCAGCGGCCGCAGCTCCACGTGGAGGCCCGCCGGTGCGTGCTCGCCGTACAGCAGACGGCGTGCTTCTCCGCTGGCCAGGTCATCGACCTGTAAGTAGGCAAGGCAGCTCGCATCGGAGGCTTTGCGCTCCTCGCTGATGCCAACGTACAGACGGTGCGGCGCCACGGCCATCTCGTAGAGGTCGCGCAACGTGGTGGCGCATTCGTGATCGCGAAACGCCGCGAGCGAGGTAAAAATCGATGCGTGCTGCAGAGCATCGCGGTCCTCCGGCGCAGCCCAGGCGGGGATCGTGAACGCGTCCATTGGTTGATAGATGGACTCCCACTTTCGGTAATCCGCACGGTGGTGTCGCACCGTGATGGTCGGCGTGACGTAGGCAAGGGTGCCCGACTTGGCGAGGGCGACGATGCCCTGCGTCGCGGGCGCACGCCACGCCGTACCGGGCGGGTGAGATCCGACGAGCGCTTGAAAAACGATGTGGTCAGTTCCTGCGGGATCTGCTGACGCCGGCCCGGCGGTTACCCACGGCTTCTGGAATCCGCCCCGACTCACCTCCGTGCCTTTCGTTGTCGTCGTGGTGGTTGTGGCGACGACTGCGGTTGGATTGGTGGGCACGATGGAAGTAAAGGCTTGCTGAGTGCGAGTTCCCGTCGGGCCCGCGGTGGGGAGTCGCGGACCCATGCCCGTCTCCGCCAGTGTCGTGCTAGGGAGCGGCGGGCGCGTCACCACGCGGTCAACGCGGAAAAGGATAAAAATGAAAAGAACAAGGACGAGGCCGACGCAGGCGAGTAGCGTCTTGCGTCGCGCCGAGACGCGTCGCCGCGGTCCGCGCAGTGGCCGCTTCAGCAAGCTAGGGGTGCTACCAAAATCCTGCATGATTTGCCGTTTGCTTCAGGCGACAAGTGCGTTTTGCGTACGGCACGATGCACTCCACGTTCACTTCGCTTGAGTTCTTCGCTGCTGCTGCTGCTGCTGCTTTTTATTATTATTATCATTTATTGATTAATAAGATTGTTTTACAAATAGGAAAGACCGGAGAGAGAGAGAGGAGGGAGAAGAGACGCGATGCGGAAACGAAGGAAGGGAGGGACTCCATCGAAAAGCGGAGGCGGTGCTGCAGCGGGTAAAACTCAGCCAAACGTAGAAGAAGAAAAATTAAAAAAGAGATACACACACACGCACACGCAATCACTACGCAGTCTCAAAGAAAGCACAGATGTTTATGTTTGCGTGTGTTCGTTCAAGGTTACGTTGCATGGGGGCGGAAACGCAGCTTGAATAACACTGGCATACACGCACGCAAAGGGCAATAGAGTCACATTTTGGGGAGGTTACGTGTTTTCCTTCTTTTCAATGGTACTTCGTACTGTTGACGGGGGCCTTTCCTTCGCTCTCTCGCTCTTTCTCTCTGTCCGAACTGGGGGGGGAGAACACGCGCGCATGAAGCTCGAAGCGCTCCGCCGCAACCCGACACTGTTAAAAGGAAAAGGAAAAGTATTAGTCAATGAAAAAAAGAATTGATTCGTTCTTTATACAATGCAGCTTCTAAAAGCAAAAAGGGGAAAAAACAAGGGTTTGGAAGAGATTGTCAACAGGCATCTGGCCGATAGGTCCATCCACTTGTGCGTCGATGTGAAAGCACGAGGACCGGGGAACATACACACACACACACACATACACACACACGAACACACCGTACTCCCAACTCGGAACACATTCAGACGAATGCATCCCTTCCGTAATCGTCCACGGTGCATGGGGAGTGGGGCAGCACGCCACATCAACATATATATATTAGGAGAAAGTGTAAACTTGGTGATGCGGCTTCGCCGCACATCGCGCAAGCGGGAAACAAAAGCGTGCAGAGGAAGGGGGAAAAACAAAAACAAAGCATTGTACGGCTCACAAGCCCGCGGCATTCAATCATCCGAAAGTGATGGCACAACCGCTCCAACCGGTAGAGCCGATGCCTCTTCTCAAATCCACCACAACCACCACCTACGACCTCCTTCCTGTATCTTGAAAGCAGTTCCTCCTTTTGCATGGTGGCGTACGTGGACATCTCTCTGCTAGTCCGCCTTTGCACAGGCCCTCGCCACCCATCCAGCGGCCCTCGCTGTCCCTCTTCTTCACAAACGTGTCCGACAGCTCCGTGTGCTTCCAGTACTGCGCCAGCGTCCGAGCAGTCCCCATACCGTAGTACGACTTCCACACGTTGATCTCGCGCGTCGCCGCAGCCATCTCGTCATTCACAATCAGCCGCAACTCCGGCGGCTCCACAGGCGGCAGCGGCTTCAGCGTCTCCTGCCCACTCGCCGTCACGTAGCCGCGCGACACCAACTCCTGTACCCACGGCTGGGCACGACGCAGCAGATAGAGGGTGCGGCGCTCCGACAGAATGCGGCGCCGTGCCTCGACTTCTTTCATAACAGCAAAGTACTTCGGCGTATTATCCCTTCCGTAGTGGTGGAAGACGTCCGACTCCGCAGGGCCGTAGATGTCCCAGCCACCCGTCCACATCCGCGCAGAAAACAGCACCTCCTCGCCATCAAACAGGTACGGCAGGAAGGGGTCGAAGGGCGTGTCCAGCACGTACTGCGCATCGCCAAACATGAAACCAGCCGCGGCAAAGCCTTGCAAGATTGGACGCTTCTCGACGCGCCGCCAACGCGCACCCAGCTTCGGCATCCCATTCGCCAGCACCTGCGCCGTGCACATCAACATAAAGTCACGCTTGCCGTATTCTTCTCGCTCATGGCCCTCGCGATAGCCGTTCGGGTAGTAGGACAGCACGCCGGGCGTCGGCAGCTGGAAGATGCGCGTGATCAGCTTCGCATCCCAGTGCACAGAGAAGCGCGTGTGGCTGTCCACAACCATGAAGTAGTCCTGGTCGAAGAAGAAGAGACTCGTGATGTAGCGGCCAAACGTCGGCCCACGCGCCAGCTCCGGCAGCGTCACACGCGTCGTCACGCGGCACCCGGCCAGCGCGCGCGACGGCTGCTGCTGCAGCCCACCGCGGCCTCGCCGAAACACCGTCCCGCCAGTCGCCTCGCGCTTCACGTCGTCCTCGTGCAGCAGCAGGCGGTCACGCAGCGTCTCGAGCTCGCCGGCCACGCAGGACAGGCGCTCCTCCGCGTAGGAAGGGTGGAGGAAGATGCCCGCGGGGTACGGCGCGGACGGGATCGGGTTGGATGCGTTCATCGCGACGTCCACGTCGAGGATAGTCCGCGGGAACACCACGTCTGCCCAGGTCAGCGGCCGCAGCTCCACGTGGAGGCCCGCCGGTGCGTGCTCGCCGTACAGCAGACGGCGTGCTTCTCCGGCCGAAAACTCGTCCGCACCGAAGGGCGCGAGACAGCTCCGATCCGAGTCCGTCCGCTCCTCGCTGATGCCAACGTACAGACGGTGCGGCGCCACGGCCATCTCGTAGAGGTCGCGCAGCGTCGCAGCGCACTCCCGATCGCGGAAGGACGCGAGCGAGGTAAAAATCGATGCGTGCTGCAGAGCATCGCGGTCCTCCGGCGCAGCCCAGGCGGGGATCGTGTACGTGTCATTAGCGTCATACACAGAATCCCACTTTTGATAGCTGCCGCGGCGGTGGCGCGCGTACGTGGTCGGCTTTTCCAGCAGAACAGACCCCGACTTGGCGAGGGCGACGATGCCCTGCGTCGCGGGCGCACGCCACGCCGTGCCGGGCAGGCGTCCTTCCGCGACGGAGTCGAAGGACGGCACGTCAGACGCTTTCGTCAGCCACGGCTTCTCCAGCACACCGTTACCGGTGTTCAAGGACGGTGCGCTGGTCCAGCTCGTGGAGAAGAGCGCCAACAGGAAGACACCTGCACATATGAAGAGGCAAAGGAGAACTACCACCTTTAGGCGGCGTGCGGTGAAGCGGCGGCGTGCACCACGCAGAGGCCGCCTCAACAGGTTCGAGGATCGATAGTTGTGCATGATGAGCGTCGATAGCCGTGAGGGAGAAGAAAGAACAAATAGAGAAAAGGTGCAGACCAAAAGAAGACGAACACAATATATATTTAAATATTTTCTCCTAAAGGATGCAGCCAAGCAATGATGCGACACCAGTGATATTGTATCGTGTGTGTGGGTGAGTGAGTGAGTGAGTGTTCTGTGAACCGCTGATGGAGGTCATATAGTACGAAGGTGGTGCGGCGGTGGCTTTCCCATACCAGAAGAAAAAAGGCGTGGAAAAGCGGCGACGCCAGTCCACGGATGAGCCAGCAGAAGAAGAAGCCAGTAGGTACCTGTACAATGCAGCTTGGAAAAAATAAGGGGAGGGGAGGAGGGGAGAAGGAGCTTTTTAAAGTCTGGCACTGTTTGGACTTACTGGAGTTCGAGCACGGATGGATAGCAACGATGCGAACGAATGAGGCGTCAAAAAAAAAAACCCCGTTGAGGGTGGCCAAAGGGGGGAGTTATTCTGCGGCACCTGAGGAGAGAAATGGAGGATGAGCTGTACTGACACGCCCATCTCGATCCCCTCCCCCTCCCCCCCGTCGTCCATCACCGGTGATGTCGCGGTTGGTTTACTGTAGGTACGCAACCGACTAGTCAAGAGGGGGGCTGGAAGCGCTGAGACAGCAACGGGAAGACAAGAAAGTCTGCATCCTGCGACAGTACAAGCGAGAGAGTACACGCACGTTACGTGTGTGTGTGTGTGTGTGTGTCTGCACCGTTACCCAAGAAGAGACAGATAATATCAGCAAAAAAAGCAACGATGTGGCACAGTGTAAAACAAAAAGTTAATGCATCCCGGAACAAGAGAGATTGGAAGCACAGGCAACAACGGGCCAGCAGACGTGCATGTTAAGAAAAAAGCGAAGAAGGAAACAGAAGGGGACACATTGATGCAGTGACCTTCGACCGGTAAATAGCTTTCCCCACTGAGGGGGTGGGGGGTGTCAAGTGTCCGTCGACTGACGTCTTTTCGACTATTCAGCAGACTTCACCGGCTCAGCCGCAGCAGACGCAGGCGCGTGCATCGCCTCGCCACGCTCCCTCTGCAGCACCACCTCCGCGACGATATCATCGTACAGATCTTTCGGAAGGGAGTGGCCCATGCGCGCAAAGGAGACGAGCTTCGACCCATCCACCAGCCGAGCCAGCTGCAGCCCGTTCTCAAACGGCACCATCGTATCCGCCATGCCGTGCACAATAAGAGTCGGAATGCCGCGGAGCTGCCGCAAGCCGTCCTCGCGGCTCTCCGCACGTTGAACTGCCCAAATCTGCCGCAACACACCATCGCCGTCTTCCGGGCAGCGGCTGAGGGTTAGTTGAGCCGTCGTACGGGCTGCCGCCTCGTCCAACTCGTAGTCACCCGTGTACAGAGCCGCCATCTGCACCTTAAAGTTGACTTGATCCTCTAGCGAGTTGCTGGCCGGTTCGCGCAGCATGGCCAAAGACATCTTAAACGTCTGCGGCTTCACCTTCGGACCGCCGCTGTGCGAGTACACGATCGTCAGACTCTTCACCCGCTCGGGGTGGCGCAGCGCCATGCACTGCACAATCATCCCTCCCATCGACGTACCGAGGATGTGCGCCTTCTCAATCCCAAGCGCTGTCAGCAGGTTCATGCCGTCCTCGGCCATGTCGTATAGCGTGTAGGGCGGCTGACCCTCGCCAAGCGAGGCCCAGGACGGCAGAACCATGCGAGCGATGAACACCGTCGGGCATCCATCCAGGTGTGTCGACAGCCCCACATCGCGATTGTCGTAGCACACCACGTAGAAGCCGGAGCCAGCAAGACCTTGAATGAAGTCGACTTTCCAATGCCAAGAGGTGCCGCCCAGACCCATCACCAGCAACAGGCACGGGTCCTTGGGATTGCCAAAGGTGCGGTAGCAGATGCTGATCTCTCGACCCGTACTGGCGCAGCGGCCCACCTTCACGAACTTGTCGTCTGGCAGCGGACGCGTATTGCGCTTAACGGAGGGGTCCGATGGCGCAGTCGAAGTCAACGGAGGATTTGTCGGATTGGGAGTCGCCATTGTCGTTTCGTATCGGATTCGTTTCGATATGTCCACCGTGGGTTGGGTCTGTGTGGATGCGTGTGGATGTGTTGTATGTGAGGAAACCACCAGCGCAGTGAATGTAGCTATTCAGTGTGTATTGAAGCCGTCCTTTGCGATCGCTTAATAGAAATAGTAATAGTAATAGAAGAGAACAGAGAGGAAGAAGAGCGCTACGGGATAACGAAGACAACGAGCAGCATAAAAGGAAAAAGGGAAAAAGAAGCAGCTGGTGCACTTTGCCGCCTTCACGGCTCCTTTAGTGCACAATCAAAAGACGGAAGTCTTCTGCGCGTGATCGGGCGTGGGACTGCGCCTTCGCAGTGGCGTCGTGCTTCGCATTTGGTGGTTTGTGCAAACCACCATTCACAGCATCAGCAGTCTGCTTTGCGTTTGTTTTTTGGCAGGTCGCATCCGTGGCCAATTTCCTCCTCCTGTCTTTTCATGGCGTTCATCGCGGCTCCGCTCCACACCCCACAGAAAGGCAGAGGGAGGGAAAATGGTCGGTGGACCTGCGTACGACTGTGGCCGCGATAAGTGCGTCCACCAACAATGAAGATAAGAGAAGTGCCGCGGCAGCAGACAACCCAGAAAGCGAAAAAAAAAAACCAAGACGGTCACTAAGACAGTAATTACAGCACACACGCACATACACACAAAGTAACACGTGTCTTGGGCCGCAACGGCTATCAGAGCGAATGACGAAAACAACGAGGCCATCCCAAAGCCAGCAATATTCGTATGGTTAGTCATCGACGGCAACGACGCGAGGGTGGTCGTTCCATTAAGCACCTGAAAAAGAAGAACAATAGTATATATATATATATACGCATAGTTTTCTGTCGTCGCTAGCAATGACAAGAACGGAGAGAGAGGGGGCGTGGGCGACGCTGTTTGCTCCGCAACGCGCGCTGGCTTCCGCGTTCTCAACGGGTGCCTTGTGAAATAAGAAAGGAAGGGGGGAGAAACACCGCTTCGTATCAGTGGCGCTTCTCCTGTGCGCTGAAGGTCGATGCTTCGCTTGGCGCAGCGGACGCAGGCGCGTGCATCGCCTCGCCACGCTCCCTCTGCAGCACCACCTCCGCGACGATATCATCGTACAGATCTTTCGGAAGGGAGTGGCCCATGCGCGCAAAGGAGACGAGCTTCGACCCATCCACCAGCCGAGCCAGCTGCAGCCCGTTCTCAAACGGCACCATCGTATCCGCCATGCCGTGCACAATAAGAGTCGGAATGCCGCGGAGATTACGGAGTCCTTTGACGCGGCTCTTTGCACGTTGAACTGCCCAAATCTGCCGCAGCACACCATCGCCGTCTTCCGGGCAGCGGCTGAGGGTGGTGAGGCCCATCTTTCGTGTCATTTCCTCGTCCAACTCGTAGTCACCCGTGAAGAGTCGCGTCATCTGCACCTTAAAGTTGACTTGATCCTCTAGCGAGTTGCTGGCCGGTTCGCGCAGCATGGCCAAAGACATCTTAAACGTCTGCGGCTTCACCTTCGGACCGCCGCTGTGCGAGTACACGATCGTCAGACTCTTCACCCGCTCGGGGTGGCGCAGCGCCATGCACTGCACAATCATCCCTCCCATCGACTCGCCGAGGATGTGCGCCTTCTCAATCCCAAGCGCTGTCAGCAGGTTCATGCCGTCCTCGGCCATGTCGTATAGCGTGTAGGGCGGCTGACCCTCGCCAAGCGAGGCCCAGGACGGCAGAACCATGCGAGCGATGAACACCGTCGGGCATCCATCCAGGTGTGTCGACAGCCCCACATCGCGATTGTCGTAGCACACCACGTAGAAGCCGGCACTCACGAAGCGCTGCACCAGCGGTTCTCCCCATTGCAGTCCGCAGCCGCCCAGACCCATCACCAGCAACAGGCACGGGTCCTTGGGATTGCCAACGGTGCGGTAGCAGATGCTGATCTCTCGACCCGTACTGGCGCAGCGGCCCACCTTCACGAACTTGTCGTCTGGCAGCGGCGATCCTCGTCTCTTGGGCGGCACCTCCGCCGAGGCACTGGCCACCGCGGGCGCCACGGGGTTCGGAGCAGCCATGTGTAGACCGGCGCAAAAATAAGCTTGAAGGATAAACGCAAAAAAAAAGGAAGGGATTCTAACATATACGGCGAAGTGCGCAACAGTGCAGTGAGGCCTCTACCGCATCACACGAAGGAAAATAGAATGTAAAAAAAAGAAGCGCAACGATGTGTCTTGCAGTGACCAATGTACCGGGTATCCTTCCTTTGCTGGTGTTGGGTGTTCGGTGCTGGGGAGGGAACGGAAGACTGCTTTTACGGTGTCTTCTCGCTTGCGTGCCTCGGCTGCCGAACGATGACACAGCAAAGAGTGGGGGGAAAGGGAGAGGGGGAAGGGGAGAGAGGGGAGGGGGTGCTGTGGCTTAACACCCTACTAAGAGCAGAAGAAGAAATAAAAGATGAAAGAAAGAAAGCAAGAGAGAACGAAGTGAAGATGATGAAAGACAGGGAATAAAAAAGAAGCAGAGAAAGAAGCGTGCCAGCGAAGATCAGCCATTGGCTATCACCCACGAACACCCTTTGCACCCTGCGCGGAATCATTCACCTCGAAAAGAGAATGAGGAATGAGGAATAAGGCTTCCTTCTTCTCTTCCTTTGGAATTAGCGATAAGATGTTGAAAATACAATAACAACCCAGCGTGGTCGAGAGATGCCATCTTACGGAGGTTTCGGAAATATTTTCTTTCCCTTCCTACCATAGTATTACTTTTTTGTTTATTGTCCGGATTATCTTTAGTGGCTTTTATACGTTGTACACACAACAGGAATGTTCGACGGAGTCAGAAACAGGAGAAGCGGCACAGGTGCATGGACACAGCAAAAGAAGAAGAGAGGGGAGTGAAAAGAGTGTCCAGGTGGCACACGAGACGTTGAAGACGCGAAATGGATCGAAATTGTATTTAAAAAAAAATGAACTGCGAAAATTTATGCAAAGAGACACACACACAGCAGCGCTGGCACCTCTCTCCCTCATCCCCTCTCCTGCATTGAAAACGTTGTTGTTGTTGTTGTTTTTTTCCGAAGAGTCCGGGGCTCCTGACGTACACGTGCTTGCTAGGTGTTTGCAGTTCTCGTACACGCAGCCCCCCCCCCCCTCCCCTACCCCGATGAGGACGACAGCCCGCCAAACGCGTCTCTCTTTAATTTTTCCTTTTTTTCCTCTTTTCCCGTTTGCGTTTGTGTGCTTGGTTACCAGTCGTTGTGTGTGTGTGTGTGTGTGTGTGTGTGCGTCGATACATAAGACACGCCACGTTCATTCGTTTTACACGGCGCCCCAACGCCCTGTCGCCTCTACTCGATCGACAAGGACACTGACGGCGTGGTCTTGGCGCCGCTGCGGTGGTGCACCGTGATGGGTTGGGCACTCTTACCGGACCCGATTGGCAGCGCCGAGCCCTCGCCAAATACCTTCTGACGCCACCAGCGCGGTGAGGCGCCACGCACGAACTGTAGGAAGCAAAAGGCGTCCTCCATGAGTGCGGCGTCGCGGCCCAGCTCGCCGACGAGCGCCACGGGCGTCTCCGGATCAACCTGCACCGACAGAATGGGGTTGCCAGCGAGGTGAAAGGGCAGGGTCAGGCGCACGCTGCGCATGTCGCCACTCTCGTACGGGTCCGACAGCAGCGGCGTCAGGAAGCAGTCCACATCCATGAACTGCTCCTCCGTCGCCCGCACCACATCGTCGCGGATGCGCAGGGCGCGGTTGTAATCGCGTATCGACAACTTCTGCCCGGCGTGGATCGATTCGACGATGCTCTCCGGCAGCTCCTCTAGCACTCCGGTTAAGCCGGAGAAGGTGTTGGGCCGGTTCGGCGAGGCCGCCCGCTTTGCGTCGAGGGTCAGCGGCGACATCCCGGAGAGAATGTTCAATTCCATCGGGGCATCTGCATCGTGGTCGGCGGCCACTTCATCCTTCGCGGCTGCTGCGGCAGCAGCGGCCTTCCTCTCGGCCTCCTCCGCGGCCTCCTTCGCCCGCACCTCCGCCGCGGCCACCTCCTCCGGCGTCGGCTCCACCGAGGCAGGACGGAACAAGCGCTCAAACGCCTTCGCGAGCTCGTAGCGCGAGATGATCGTCGTCGCCTCAAGCACCTCCTCCATCGTGAAGTCGAAGGCAAGCGGCACGATCTCCAGCTTTTGATTGAAGTGGAGGGCGCTGTGCATGTACACGGCGTCGGTGATGCGCTTGTGGAACTCCGCGGCGGAGCTGTACTTGCCGGTGCAGTAGGTGTTGATCCACTCCGCCGGGTAGCCGACGGCCAACTCAACCTGCGGGGTGTCGAAGGACTGTGCGCCCGTCAGGAGCCGACGAACAAAGCCTGGCCGAGTGGGCTGGCCGAAGTCGTCCGCCATCGCCGCCTCCGCGTTGTAGTCGCGCCAGCCGACGTCGATGTCGGCGATGTGGCCGCGGCGATCCTTCACCGTGTAGTTGTACGGGTTGTGGTCCAGAATCTCCGGCCGGGCGTAGATGGGAGTGTCGTCGGGGTGCTTCGTGGACTCCAGCACGGTGCGGCCGCCCCACCAATTCCCGATGGTCAGCGTCGGGCTGCTCTTTTTGTGGGCGACGTCGGCAGCGGCCTCCGCCGCGGCGGCCGCGGTGGCGCCGGCCGAGAGGTGTCCACCGCCGTCCTCTGCACTCTCCCGTGCCTCCGCTGCCCCGAGCAGCTCCACCGGTGGAATGAGGTGCTTTGCGGCAGAAGACGCAGAAGAGGCGACGTTGTCCGACGCATTGGCGCCGTCTGGACCTGCCGTTGTTGCGGTGTTGGTTCTGTTGGCGCCAGATGATGCTGACCCGCCTCGCTTCGCGGCCGTCTGCTCAAAGTACGCCACCGGGTCGATGGACGCGGTGTACACCTGCCATAGATACATGAGATCATCGACGCGTCGCGCGGACAGGCCCAGCGTCATGGAGGGCATCGTCAGCTCAAAGCGCTCCGTGAAGGTGCCGAAGGTCTGCGCGGTGGGCTTGAAGCCTACGATGTCGTGGTACGCGGCGCACACAATCGACGACGGTCCGTTCAAGGAGCAGCTGATGGCGTAGTGGCACGCGTGCTCAAACACCGCCGTCGAGGACGGCTTCTGTGGTCCAAAGACCGTTCCCTCGCTGAGAGCCAAGGGCGTGCGACAGCACATCTTCCCGATGAACTGCGCGCCCTGCCGCCGCAGCCACGAGATGAGCGGAAACTCCTTGCGCGCGACGTGGTGGAACATCGGGGTGTCGAGGCCGGACCGGGTGTGGAACTCCTGCACATCCAGCGCATCCGACACCGCGACCGCAATGCCGCTCAGCGGGCCGTCGGGGATAAAATTCTGCTTGATGTCCTTCTCCGAGGCGACCTCGACAAAGCAGAACGGCGGCGGGTTCTCGACGTTGGCGACGTGGGCGTCGTGCGCGATGGCGGCGGCGGACATCGACTCCGCCGTGTTACGGCACTCCATCACCGTTTGTCGCTGCTCAGCGACATGGTGGTGCAGCTGCCGCACCATCCGCCGCGTGCTGCTGCGGGAGATGTGCAGACCCGCTGACGAGATCGCGGAGCTCATGGCGGCAGTAACGGAGGAGGTGGTGGTGATGGTGGAGGCAAATAATTTTATTTTCTTTCTTATGAATTTTGCTGCTGCGATGCGCTCTATGCAAAGAACAATAAAAACACACTATTATCGCCTTTGTTTTTTTCGGCTTGTGTTTTGTACTTGGACGCGTTTTGTAGTCGTTCTCGTCTCAGCCTTTTGTAGTTGCTTCGGAGGCGGAAACCCACGAGTCAATTCGAGAGGAAAACAAGAAACAAGAAATAATAGAGATTGGAACACCGGAAAAAACAAAACAACAACAATAATGATAATTAGTAGTAGTAGTAATAGTAATAAGTTTCAACCTCTCCACGTGTGAATTGCACGCCGCCGACTTCCACAGATTCGGTGCAGGACACCCTTACGTCGCAATCAAAACCGAAGAAGAAAAAAAACCCCGCGGGGAAGTGAAGAAATACCTTCACGAGGGTACTACAGAAAGAAACAAATAGAAAGCTACCGAAGTAACACAACAGCAATTTATGAAGAGATGGAGAGAGAAGAAGAAAAAGCACGGGTACCTTTTATTGCATGTAAACCCACTTGCCACGAAGTTACGGTGATGTTTTTCCCTTTTTTCCTTTTGTCCCGTTTTTTTTTTGCGGGGGGGGGGGAATTATTGCTTCGTTTTTTATGCTGATGTGTTTTTTTTTTTTGGTGTAGTCGTTGGTGTTGTTTTGATTTTTGAGAAGTGTGTATACATATGATACTACCACGGACAGCACACGTTTAACTTGCCTTGTCGCTCTTCCTCCCTGATGTACCTCTAATTGAAAGGGGGGGAAAGAGGAAAAACAAAGCAGGCTTTTACAAGTTTTCTGGCCCGTCAAACGCTGTTTTGTTGGTGACGTTTTTTTTCTTCCTTTTTTTTTGGAAGGTTTCGCGTGTCAGCGACACACAAGAAAAGGAAACGAAGGCAGATTTTTAGAAAACAATGAACCGTGCACAAACGAGGAAGGGCGGGAGAAGACGAGGAGAAGAGGAGAAGAGAAAGAATGAGAGAAGGCACAACAAGAAAAGGAAATCCTACATGAAAGTATTTATGCCGGAAGAGTCGCTTCGGTGGCGATTTCGGTGCCCCTGCATCGACGCAGCCGGCGAAGGCGTCAAACACACACACACAGACACACAGAGAGAGAGAAAGAAAGAAAGAGCTAACACGTAAGAAAAGGTAAAGGCGATGAGAAAACAATAAGCGCGTGTATTTGATGTTGCTGATGGTGATGGCAGACACTGCCTCCAAAACTGAACGCAGCGAGTTGAACCTCTTCTTGCAGAAAACAAGGGTGTGGAAGGAAGTCGTTGAAGAGCAAGAACAGGGCGGACGCGTCGAGGACAATGATCGTGGTAGATGAAGACAAGGCAACAGCGAGAGAGATAGATAAAGTACATTCATGAGAAGATGAGAAAATGCGAAAGAAGATCCAGTTTCCTTCATGCATTTCACAGTACTGCTTAGAGCAATACGTTTGCATGCCGTCTCTACCGCATCACGCTCTCCTTGAGCATCCCCTCACTCTCTAGGGTGATGTCTTGTTTAGGGAGCGCTGACGGATAATGGATCATTCCCTTTGTAGTTGCTGCTGCATTTGCTTCGTTTTCTTTTATCCTTTTCTTTTTTTGCGAACCATCAGCATGTGAAGCCAAAACATCGAAGGGTTTAATAAAATATAGTAATGATAACTGAAAGAAAGAAATCCAATAATCAGCATTTGAAAGCACACGCCTACGCGAAACAGAGAATATATATCCGTCCATTCCATACTTCTGTCGTAGAGTGCTCTACCAGTGCGGCGCCCATCGGCGCCACAGGTGCGGCGTCGCGTCATCCACGCCCAACAGGTTCCCTTCATCGGTCGCCGCCGCCACTAACCGGGTGACAAAGTCGTACGCTGACTGCGCTGTTGTTGCTGCTGGGGCGGGGGTAGCGGCGCCCTCTGCCTTCCCGCCCAAGTTGGAGGACGCCGCCGATGTGTTGTTTGACGAGGTCCGCGAGAAGGACTTCGACGACGACAACGACGACCACGCCAAGCGGTCGTCGTTGCCGTTGACGTGGCTGCTGGACCTTCTGCCGTCGGCCACCTCCGCATCGGCTGCTTTTACATGCGACACGCCGTCCTTGTGGCGACTCCGCCGTTCTGCCTTCGCCGCCCGCGTCGCTGACGGCGGCGCACGCGGCCACGACGCCTCCGTGGCTTCCCGCTGCGTCTTGAGCAACCTCAGCATCGTCTCCCGCCCCTGCTGCTCCACGTCCGCGTGCAGCACCAACAGAATGTCGTACGACAGCTTCAAGCGCAGAGAGCTCGCGTCGAAGCACGGCGGCGGCGGCGGAAGCAGCTGCGGAACGTTGTCCACGCCACTCTGGTCCCCCTCCGCGGACGCCGACAGCGGATGAGAGACGCTACTCCATCTGCGCTCGCCTCGCTGCGTGCTGGCGTCACGGCTCAACGGTACAGCGCCGGTGCTCCCGCTGCGACGGTTCCGCTGTCTACCGGCAGATACCGATGTGGGCCCCTCTGTGTTGGCCGCCAGCATCGCATCCTTCACCCCACCCCCACCACCATCACAAGCTGCACTGGCAGCAGCGGTGTGAGACGCAATAGTCGTCCGTTCAACAAGGAAGGGTCGCGACGTCGCCGTTGGATCCACCTCGGCCTCGTAGGGCGAGAGCGCCGTCGCATCACTCGCGTGGGACGCCGCGGCCGGGCAGGGATACTGTTGCGCGTCGGCCCGCGCTACTGCCGTCGCCACCGCTGCTGTTGTCGATCTCGATACCGGTGGAGTGGCGGACGATGAACTCGGCAGACTCGCCGGCAGCACCTCGCGCTCCATCATCGTCTGCGGGTGCAGCGGCGGCGTGGCCAGCGCTAGCGACGGGTGCGCCGCATCGTTGTGACGACTGTCCTCTGCGGTTTTGCTCGGGGGTGCTGGCAGAGGGGATGCTGCCGGACTCTTCCCGCGCCGCCGCGATGCATGAGTCGTGGCCGTCAGCGGCGGGCTTCGTGGCACGGTGATCATCAACTTTGGTGCCGCTTTTTGGTCTTTTTCACGGTGCGGCGGCAGCGCGGTGCGGCGCGCAGACGCGGGAAACACGGAGAGGCTTCCGGCGTGGACGCCGTCACCGGCCAGCGCTTCCACCCTCGTGGGACCGGTGGTGTAGGCAAACGCCTTGACGCGGTCCACGCCGTAGGTGGCGATGCCGGCCAGATCCCGCACGTACAGGTAAATATCGCCCAGCACCGACGCGGCGCGGTACTGGAACAGGGCGTAGGGGCTTTGCATCGGCAGGCCACACTGCAGCACCGGGGTGAGCCGAAACAGCGACGGGTCGCGCGTTGGGAACGGGGAGGAAGTCAGCGGATCGCTTTCCCGCGCAGCTGGCGACGCCGGGGATGCGGGGGCCGACCCGGCGGTGGCAGAGGGCGTGGCGACCGCACCAGCCGCGGCGGGACCCGCCCCCCGCCGAAGGCCCCCGCCAGCATCATCACCCCATGCCTTCTGCAAGCTGTGCCGTCCCATCGCGTGCATGGCGACGTGGCCGTCGTAGGTGTTCACCATGACATCCCCGCACTCCCGCCCAAACATGTCGAAGAGGTACTGCACCACACTCCACTCCGCCAGCTCCTTCGCGTAGATGCGGCGCACATCGAGCCAATGCGACGCGTCGCTGCTGTCGGCGCTGAAGGCGTCGGCGAGCGCAGACTTGCACCGGCTGCTCTCCACGCGGAAGAGAACGCGACCGCACGCCTGCCACGTCGGCGGGGTGAGGATGTGCGGTGGAGCGGGCGGGGCAGATGACGTGTGATCCTCGTCTATTGTCCGTGGATTGCCTGGTGGATTCGTCGGAGCAGCCGTGGCCGTGGCGCTTCCGCGGGGGTGGTGATGCTCATCGGTCATCACCGACGGCGCCGATGAAGTCGCCGTCGTCGGCTTCTGGCACATGGCCTCCTCGAGTGCGCCGAGCAGCCACCGCAGATGCGCTTCAGTGCGCGGTAGGGTGGCCAGATGCGCGTACAAGAGCTGCTGGCGGGCGTAATTATCCTCTGCCGGGTCCTGTAGAGGAGGGTTCGTGTTTGTCGGTGGGACCTCCCCGCCTCCTCCTCCGGCGGAGGCGGCGGCGGTGGTCGTCCTGTTGGTCTCCGACGCCGGTGGCGGAGTCTCGACTGGCCACGGCAGAGGTGACGGACGCGCCGCCAGCAGCTCCCGCACGTACGCCACGAGCTGCTCCACGTTGCCCTTGTTGTACGCCATGGCGACAAGTTGGTCGTAGCGGAGCTCATTCATCTTGCGTTGGCGCACAACGTCGTGATACTTGGTGGAGTTGAGGGCGGCGATCATCGCAGCCTCCGACGGCGGCGCGCTGGCTGGGTAGCCGTAGGCCCAGTTGAACGGAAACGAGTTATCCGACTGCGCCCCGGGTCCACGGCCCGTCTCCGCCGCGATGTACGTGGCCTCAAAGTCGCTGGTGGGGTAGAGTTGCACGGCATCGTGGGCGGCCTGCGCCATCTCCCGCACACGCAGGTGCACGGCGTAGTCGTCCATCAAGTGGTGCAGCGACGGCGTGCCGCGGGCGGAGGACGACGCCGAGGACGGTGTCAGCAAACTCGCTGTTAAGCTCAGCGCCGCCGAGGACTCCCCGGTGAGGAGGGCGACGCCGTTCTGCCAGTTGGTCTTGTCGCCCGCGTGCATGACGGCGGCCGTCACCGTCGCCCCGAAGACGGATCCGCTCGTCTGCTCCGGCAGCAGCGTCATGTAATCCTGCAAGCCAAGCGGCAGCACAAAGGGGCGCTGCAGGTTGGTGAGAGGGAGGTGGCTAAGTACCATGGAAACCACCTGTTCCATCAAGCAGTGCGGCACCACGTAGCGCACCTCCTCGCCGTCCGTCGTCGTCGCGGCAACCGCCGCCGTGGCAGTAGCAGTCGACTTGGTTGTTGTGCTACGCTCGTGCGGCGCAACGGGATGTCGAACGCCGCTGCTGCCGCCGTTGCGGGGCTGCGGTGGTGCCGCCGCTGCTGTCGCCCGCGGCGGGGCAGGGGCAACGTGGCGCAGGCGGCACATCGCGCCATCGGACAGCACCAGAAATATCAGCTCCTCCTTGCGGTGGTGTGGGGCGGGGTGAGGGACGAGGTAGCGGCGCACGTGCACGACACCTGGTACAGTGGAGGGAGAAAAGAGGACCCCCGCCGGTGCGACATCGGGGAAGAGCGCTGCCGCCGCCGCTGTGGGGGGAGGGGAAGCGGACGCCTCCTGCGCTGTAGAGCGCACGTCGTGTGCGATATGGCCTGCAGTCCCCGCGCCGTCGCCCTTGTCCAGAAGAGTTGAACCCGCAGCAAGGCCGGTTGTGCTGCTGCTGATGCCCGCCGTATTGAAGGCGCTCCCATTACCCGATTTGCGCGCAGAAAACTCCGCATTGCTGTTGCCGCCACCGCTGTTGCTTCCGTGGTGGTGGTGGTGGTGGTGGTTGCCATTCCGGTTTGCCTTGGCTGCTGTGGCTGCGGCTGGGCCGACAGGCGCGCTATCGTCCTCCATTGCGGCTTCCATCCCGAAGACGCTGGAGAGATACCACAGCGGGACGGGCAGCGGGCAGTGCCCTCCCAGCACCAGCTCCATCGCCCTCAACGCGCCGTCGGTCTCCTGCACGTGGAATGCCACATCCGTGTCCAGGATGGGAGAGGACGCCCCCTCGATGGGTCGGCTTCCTGTGCGGTTGCGGTTGGGGTTGGTGCCGGTGTTGGGAGCCACCTCTTGTGGTGACGCCGTCGCACTCGCAGGAGGTTCCGCATCTTGCTGGCCTTGAGCGGACGCTGGCGGCCACGTGTAGGTCGCCTCCACATCCCACGCGCGCCGCACAAACCCACGTAGCTGCATGGCTTCGTGGATGTGCTGCTGATGGCCGGGGCTGGCAGCCGCCACATCCGCCAACAGCAGCGACCGCACGACTCGCTCCTCATTGGGCGAGTAGTCAAACGACGGCAGCGTCTCTTGCAGCGGCACGGGGGTGGTCGCACGATCCGGCCTCGCCTGCTGCTGTCGCTGCGGTGGCGGTAAGCAGCTCCGCGCACGCCGTGGCACGCGCTGACGTGGCCGATAAGAGGAGGAGGACGAAGGCTGCCCTGTCGTGTGCAGCGCGCTCTCGCCAACGGCAAACGCATCGGCCGTGCTATTGTTGTCCTCGTCGTCCGCTTCCGAAGCGCAGGAGACGAAGGAGGAGGCGGCGTCGATGGAGGAGTTGTACTCGACCTCGGTGGTGGCCGGGGTGTCCGCCCCGCCTTGCCCGTCTGCGGTGTTCGCCGCTGTGGTGGCGGCCGGGTTCCCGCTTCCTCGTGTCCGCGCTGTGCGACGTGGTGCCTTGCCTCGGTGTGGATCTGGAATCGATGGCGGCCCCGTCGTCGTGGACGAGCTGTCAGTGCAGCTGCCGCTGCGGCTGCTGTCGCCGCTCCCGTTGCGGCCATCGTGTCGGACCACCTCCACATCCCCCGCGTCGTCCTCCCACAGATCCGGCACGGACGTCACACGACGGCCAAAATGGCGCTCCCGCGGTGCCGCAGAGATGCCGCGTGCGCTGTGTGTGGCAGGCTTGGAAGGCGCACAGTGCAGCGCCGATGTGTCGTCTGCCCGTCGCGGCGCCGCGGCAGAAAAGCTGCGCATCGCGGTCGCGTGTGCGGGCGACGGCGCGTCCCACATCACTGTCCGCGTCCCCGCCAACCCTCGGCCGCGACTCACCTGATCGGTGCGCTGGACGAACAACGTGTCGTGGCCGTGCTCGAAGTTGGCGATCAGCATGAAGACGAGCTGCCGCAAGAAGTGCCGTGACCGGACGCACATGTCTCGCAGCACGGTGTAGAGGGTGGGGTGACAGGTGGCGGCGGCCAGCAGCACCGGCGCAAGAGCCGCCCACTGCGCGTAGGAGGCGGCGGAGAAGTCGAGGCACGCAAAGCCGCCGCTGGGGGACTTCCCTGCGGGTGCGGTGGGCGGTGCGGAGGATGAAGAGGGAGCGGAGGCACCACCACCACCAACACCACCGTTCTTTCTTTGCGCCTTCTTCGGCGTCGACTGCGGTGTCCCATGCCCGCCACGATGCGGCTGCGTCGGCGGTGGCGGCGGTGGCGGCGGTGGCGGCGGTCGACCACCGGCTGCCGTTGGCACCTTCTCCTCCTCACCCGCCAAGGGGGAGTCGTGGTAAGGGAAGAAGGTGTGTTGGCTGTTGGACGGGGAGGCGGAGACGGTGGACGGGCTGACGGTGGCGAAGCCGGCGTGGAGGTGGAGAGCGTTGTCGCCGTTGCCGTCTTCTTCGTCAGTGGTGAGAGAGCCTTCGGCGCGGACGGAGGGCGACGGGGAGCGGGCCGCTGCGGTGCTCATTGGACCGCCAGCTGACCCTGCAACAGCACCAGCCACGACAGGCACCGCGGACGCCTGGGCGTCGTTCTGCACGATCAGCTCGCACGTGATCGCAAGGTGCAAGGCCTTGAGGAGGAGGTGGGCGGATGGCAGTGCGCTGCGTGCGTGACGGTGGCGGCGCTGTGCCATGGCAGAGAAGAGCCCCACACCGCGACCCAGCGCGGAGGCCGACCCGCTCTCCCACAGCTGCGCCGCGAGCTGCAGCCCGTGAATGGCCTTGGCGGACTGCGCCAGAAAGTTCTGCTTTGTCTCCTCGTCAGCGGTGACTTTCCACTCGGAGTGAATGGCGAGGCAGATGTCAAAGAGCACGAGGCCGAACTCTCGCCAGACGGAGGGCACGTAGTGCGTGACCGTGACGACGTGCTCCAGCAGGTAGTACTCGACAAAGAGCGCGTTCTCGCCGGTGAGGCTTTCCATCGCGGATTTGCCCTCCTCGTCGTCAGCGTCGCCATTCTCCGCCGCTGCTGCCGCTGCCGCTGCACTTGCTGCAAATGCCCCTTCGCCAGTCCCCGACAATCGTGTTGGCTGATGACGGAAGCCACGCGGCACCTGTTTGCCGCCGTCGCCGTCCGCGCCGCTGCTGCCGCGCCTAGCACCCTCCGCAGCACCAGCACCAGCAGCAGCAGCAGCAGCAGCGGCGGCTACGGCGTTGTTGTGCGCGTTGCTGTTGGAGAAACTGGTGGAGGGCATCTCCTTGTCCTGCAGCGGGGTGGCGTTGGAGACAAGGGTGAAGCCTGTGTTGGGCGACGACGCCTCCAGCGACGGAGATGGGGGGGAGGCGCTCGTTGGAAACCCAATGAGCTGCCGCGCCATCGATGAGCTCATCGGGGAGTGGGGGTACGTCGCGAAACCATCGCGCGCCTCTCCCTCCCCCTCGCCTCTCTCCGCGAGGCCTTGTCCAGCGGGGTCGTTGCGTGCGCCGCCGCCGCTGCTGCTGCTGCTGATGTGCACGCTCACCAGGTGAGAAGGCACAGGGGTCGCGGAGGACGTCAGGGAGACGCACTGTGAGGACCCGTCCGCACCTGGAGAGGAAACCGCGAAGGCGGCGGAGACGTCACCGCGGTGGTTGCGCACACCACCGGTCGCCGCCCGCTGTGCCAACGGGGCACCGCGCAGCAGCACACGCGCCAGCCGACGGCGACACCCCACGCTGAGCAGTAGCAGGTCGACCTGGTAGCTCGTGAGGGACGGTCCGAGCTCCAGCGCATCCAGCAGCGCACCGCGTCCGCGCTTTGCATCGCTGATCACGGCAAATAAGGGGTCCATTGTCTCCTCAGTAGATGCCTGGTTCGCACCCACGCTGGAAGGAAAGAGAGCAACAGGGGACGACGACGACTGACCCCACTGTGCCGCGGCGCGCCGTGACTGCCAAAGGTCTTGTCGCAAGGCGGTCTGCACGCAGGCGTACATCTCTCGCAGTTCCGCCTCGTGCGGCAGGTTGTGGATCATGCGGCGTAGCGTTTCCAGGTGCAGCTGCTGCTTGTACTCCGCTGCGGCGCCGCTGGTCATCGCATTGGCGGTGGTGGCCTGCTGCGAGTACCGGTGCAGCGTCTGCACCGCACGCATCGGCTGCCCGTTTCTCTCGAGCATCTCACACAGCGTGATAATGCTGTCAAGCTGCCAGCTGATGGGCGCGATGGCGCTGCGGGCGGCGATCATCATGAAGCGCTGCAGCGGACTGGTGGTGGCCGACAACGGCCGACAAACGATGCTGCGCAGACGTCGAATAGTGGCTTCAGAGTAAAGACGGCCGTGTACCTCGCGGTCTAGCACGGGTGAGCCGGGCCCCGAATAGGTAAAGCACGTTGTCTCCGACTCACTCGAGAACCCAGCCGCCACTGCGGCAGCAGTAGCAGCAGCCGTAGCAGCCGTCGTGGTCGCTGTCGTGGCGGACGTTCCGTCTTCGCGAAAGCCCGCGGCCGGCTCCAGGGTGTGAATGCCCTCCTCCAGGTCAGACAGCTGTTGGAAGATGCAGTTCCACTCCAGCTTGATGCGGACGCAGCTGGTGTGAAAGACCGCGTACGAGTCGCGCAGACCGCTGCGCACCGCGCTCAGCACCTGCTTCGCGCCTTCGTAGTCGTGCGCAGCGACCAGCGCGGCGCCCAGAAAGATTTCCTGCTGCTGCTGCTCCATCAGGGAGCCCTCAGCCGCGTCGGGTGAGAAAGAGACGTCGCTGCGTTCCACCGGTGCTGCTGCATCGGTGCTGCTCGCCGTCATGAACGCGTGAGCGGGGTCGTCCTCATGACCCCACCCATCCACTGCCAGACTGGACCACGACTTCGCATGCCGCATGCGGCCGCTCTCCATCAACGCGGTGTCGAACGAGAACTGTCCGGGAGACACGATGCGCTCCAGCAAGGGTGATGCCGTCCCTGAAAATCTCGACAAGTGTTCAGCCTGCATGAACCGCGCCGTGTCGGATACATACGCCCACCGTGACAACGCTTGGGCGGCCAGCGCGACGTACCGCGCCGTCTCTGCGCTCCACGTTGGCGTCTCCGCAGCCGGTGGTGCGACGTCGCCGTCCTCTCCATTCCCGTCGTCCACTCTGCCTCCGCTCCGCTCATCTGCGAAAACCGCTGCGGCGCTCTCCTTCGCCGCTGCAAGTCTTTCCCCCCGCCTGCTGCGCTTCTGCTGCTTCACCACGTCCCACAGTCGCAGAACGGCTTCAAAGTCAAACAGGCGGGTGTAACACCGCATCGCACCGGTGATCGCCTTCTCTGGGTTGTTGATGCTTGCGTCCGATAGAGTTCGCCTCGTAGCTGCCCGTGGGAAGCGAAGCTCTCCCGTGCTGCTGATCGTGACATCAGCGCCACAACCCCGTCGCTGCTGCCGGTGCTGTTGCTGTCCTGCCTCCGCCGCCTCTCCTGGCCGAAGCTCCGTGTACACGCGGACGTACTCCAGCGCCGCAGCCCGGTAGAAGCCCAGCAGCTCCAGCGCCGATGGGGGCATCGCGTCGATGAAAGAAGAGGAGGGAGAGGAGGACGACGACGCCAACGTCGCCGTGCGCGGAAAACGCAGCGCATCTGTTGTCGCGTTACTGCTCACGTCCTGTGGGTAGACAGGGGAGTCGTGTGGCGGGGTGGTGTACGTGGCGCTCGCCGTTCCCGCTGTCAGGGCGCCAAGCCAGCGCTGGAACCGCCTATCCTGCACAAACAGCTTCCGCTCGAGCGAGCTCGTCACGTCGTCCATGGCGGACATCAGCAGCGCCGCCCGGTTCCACGAAAAGGCCCGCGCAAGGTCCTGCTCCAGGTAGAGAATGCGGAGAGGTGGGTTGAGGGAGTGGTGGGCGAGATCGGCGACGACGCCGTCCGGCAGCCACACATCGATCACCTGCGACACCACTTCTGGAGGGAAGAAGGCATTGCGATGCAGCCGGATCGCATGCGCCACCTGCGCCACGCCGGACGTCACCTGCTGCGGTACGGAGTTGCATGGATCGGTGTGGTAGACGTAAAAGGTGCGCAGCGCCTGCAGCCACGCCGTCAGCTCCGCCACGGTGCAGGAAGGCAGCGTGGAGAGCAGCGCCAGCGGCAGCAGCTCCGTGCAGGCGAAGGCGACGTGGTGATTCCGCGCGAAGGTCTCGCAGGCCTTCACACAGTAGTCCTGGCTGCACTCGACCATGAAGAGGCAGAATTGCTCCCACCAGCTGCGCCAGCCGTGCGCCCGCAGCAGCCGGTGCGATTCGAAAAACAAAATGAGCGAGTTGCGGTGCTGCGGGACGGCAGTCTCGGGTGGGAAGATGACCGCCGTGGGCACCGAGACGAAAACGTCGTCGCGGTTGTTGCCGGCGGTGGCGGTGGTGGTGGCCGGGTGCATCAGTGGTGCGCGTGGCTGCTGTTCGAGGAGGAGGGTAGGGACTGCCGCCGCAGCAGCTGCCCCGGCGGTGACCGCCACGGGCCGCAGCGTCGAGGTCGACCGCACGAAGAGCGGTGACGGACTCGCCGTGTCGCTCGAACGCGTGCCAATCGGTGGTGTCTTCAAGTATCCCTGCGCGTCTCGCGACAAGCCGCCTGTGGAACGCGCAAGCACTGGCAGTCCCTGCACTGGCGTGCCGGGGTTGCTGCCGCTGCTGCGCCGCGCAGGTGCGATCGGGGTGAGCTGGCGAGGTGGTGGTGGTAACAAATGAAACGCGCCAACCGTGAGAGAGGAGGCCTCGTCACTCCGTGGCAGATTAGCCGTGCCGGCGGCAGACGCAATGGAGCGGTGCAGGTTGTGGGGCAGCGGAGGGTGCTGCAGCAGCGGCGACGTCCGCCGTCGCGTGTTGCTGGGCTGCAGTGGGGAGGTGTAGTGCGGCAGTGCGGCCGCCGCGGCGGATGTGTAGGGGGCGTAGGTCAGGTCCTCGCTGCTAGGCGGTGCCGCCATCGGCGGGGGGTGCCAAAGAGGGCTGCCACCGACGCCGCCTCCGCCGGCAGACCCGGCAGGCGGTGTCCCGTTGAAGAGAGAGCTGGGGCGTGCAAGGAGACTGCGGTGGCGGTTCAGCGGCGCGGCGGCACCAAACGAACCCACCATGAGCATCGCGGAGGGCGGCTGACTAAATCCCATCGGCGCCACGGTCGCCGTCATGATGTCTGTGGCGGACATTGGGAACGAGGCCGGCAGGTCCGACATCGACGGTGGCCGGGCCGGCTGAGAAGACATTCCATTCGTGTAGGCAACCGGAAAGGGGAGCTGGTGGCCCTGCGACGACCCCGCTGCTTGTCGCACCAAGACAGAATCGTTTCCGCCCACACCCCCGCTTCCCACGTGAACCGTGGCGTGGTGCGGGCCGGGTCCGTCCCCGCTGTGTGCGCTGGCGCTGTTCGGGTACCGCGGCCCGCTGCCGCCGCCACCGCCACCGCCACCACCACTGCCGACCCCCACGGCGTCGCCAAACGAGCTCCTGAAGAAGCTGCCGGGGTAAAAGGAAGCGTTGATGGCAATGGGACCGCTGCCAGTGCCTCTCCCTGACGTCACGCCCGTCCGGCCCTCCGCTGCACCGCCGAGGCCGCCGGGGCCCACAGGGATGGGCAGTGTCACGGCTGTCGGGCTCTGGTCGCGCGTGCTGGGTGGGGAGTGGGTGGAAGGCGAATGGAAGAAGTCAAAGACGACGTCCGTGCTGGCGGTGGTCGCGGCGGCCGTACTCGCACCCGCCGTACCGAGCTGCTGCTGCTGCTGCTGCTGAGGCAAGGGAAGGCTCCCATAAAAGAAAGGAGACGTGCTGCGCGGGCGGTCAGACGTTTGGTTCGCCGCGCAGTGGCGCTGGTGCTCCTCCCGCCCGCTTCGGTCACCGTCGCCGTCGCGGTCGGGGAAGTGCGCCGTCGCGTTCATCTCTGCGGAGCGCCTGCCGTTGTTGCTGTTGGTGTCCGTCCAGTCGGTGGGGGGAAACCCGTGTGAGGCCGGCGTCTCCGCCACCCCCGCCCCACCCATCGCAATGGCGGTGGTGCTGGTGTGATTTGTCGCCGCGGAGGTGACAGACGCCGAGGCCGGGGAGGCGGAGTTGAAAGCGGTCGCGGCGACGGTGGTGGGGACATCACGGCGGCCCGTCTGCAGCCGCGACGACGCGGACGACGGTGGTGGCGGCGGCGCTGCTGCTGCCACGCGTCCCCGCGTCAGACTCGTGATGGAGGACAGCTCCCCCTCCGCCGTCATCACGGTGCGCAGCGGCGCCTCCGCCTCCCAGCTACCGGTGCGACTTCCCCCCGTAGAGGACGTAGTGAAGGCGGCGGTGTTGGCCGAGTTTACCAAGAAGTGGCTCGTGAAGGAGATGGGGGGCACGTTGTCCATCAAGGCGGGCGAGGCGGCTCGGCCTGCGCTGGGGTGCCGCAAAATGACGTCGGTCGCGCCCTCGCAGCCTGTATCGCCGGTGCGTGTGCTGTCCGTGTCCTGCGGCGTCGCACGTGCCCCTGTCACCGCTGTGGTCGCTCGGTTTGGAACGAGGGGCAGAGGGGCGAAGGCGCCATCGCTGCCGTTCCCTGCGCTGCCGTTGACACCACCACCGCTGGTCCCGTGACGGTGCTGCTGCTGCTGTTGCTGCTGATAGACCCAATTCGCCACCGCCGCCTCTTCGTCCGACGCGGACAGGAGGGGCAGGCAGAGATCGTAGTACCGAGAGCAGACACACCGCGTGTAGGACATCACCAAGCTCTCCGCACCAAACCGCTGCGCCACGAAGGTGTATAGCACCGGGATGAAGGGGACGGTGGAGGAGGGGTGGCGCCAGGCGGCCGCGGCAAAGAGGCAGCCAAGCAGGTGCACCTCGCCCTCCGTCTCCCAGGAGGTCTGCGCGGCGTCAAAGGGGAAGTAGCGCCGCACCGTGGTGGTCTGGTCGGTGCTCTGCACCCACATCCGGCTGAGGGGGGCGTTGCTGAACCACAACACTTCCTTCGTCGTCCTCGCTCCGAGCGGCATCGGACTAGGCGAGGTGCTGCCGCTCAGGCTGTTGCTCGCCGCCGCCGCTGCTGAAGCAGCAGCCGCGCCGCGAGTGGGTGTCTGACCGCCCGCGCTGCTCGGGGTGCCGAGGGACGGGTCGTCTGTTTGGCGAAGGCGCTGCGCGTACAGCAGCTCACGGGCCTCGCGCAGACACGCCTCCCGCACCACCCGCGTCGGCTTCGACGCGTCTCGAGCCTCTTCTGCCGCCGCCGCGGCCTCCATGTGTGGAAAGGCGCGTGTTGCTGCCGTTGATGAGAAGGATGACTCCGTGCCATATACATTTGCACTGAATTGCCGCTGCTGCGGGGAGAGGCTCGCCGTCAGCATCACTCGACGGAGCGCCTCCTCATGCACCATGCTTAGCGACTCCAACCGCGCCAGAACGTTCTTCGTGATCTTCATTGACACGGTTTCCAGCTCAGTGTGCATCATGTACTCCATTAGCGGCCCACACACACAGGTGTTGATAAAAGAGATGAGTTCTTCGTGCGGGTCCGCCATGAGGTCAAACATCCCGTGCGTTGGAAAGGGCGTCGCAGCAGTAGCAGCAACAGCAGCGCTCGAAGAGCGCAGGTCTGCTGTCTCTGGAACAGTGTGAGGTGCCAAGCCCTTTGCCCCGCCGCCCACCTCCGGCGTGGTTGGGTGTGGTCGGATATGCGCCGCCTTCACGGAAGCGCCGGCAGCACGCCGCGGCGTCATCTGCGGCACGTGCGACGACTTGAGGCAGTCGGAGAGACACACACAGACCAGGCGGCGCATGAACCCGGAGGAGATGGGCTGCATCGAGGTGAGACACACGGTCAGCGCACGGTAGACCAGCTTTAGTTGATCCTCGAAGTTTGCCTCTGCCACCTCGTCCGCGCGACTCTGCGCGGCACCGCCAGACGTAGCAGCAGCAGCGGCGGCGGCGGTCGGACTCGGTTCGTCGGTGGAGGCAAAAGGCGTGACAGAAATGCGTGGAAACGCCCCTCCCGCTGCGCTGCTCGTGTTGTCGAGCGGGGGTGCCATTGGACTCTCACCCAGAGCACTACGACGGGTCGTGTTGGTGGTAGAGGCGACGGCAGCACCTGCGCCGGTGACCGCCGCCTGGCGCTCCGCCTCGTTGGAAAGTGCGGGATAGGTGGTCACCATGGTGCTCCGCGTCTGCTTCGTCGTCCCGGCAGTCGCAGCGGCAGCAGCGGTGGTCGTCGGCGTCGACGTAGGTGTCTCGTGAGCGCGGCGGTGGGTCAGCACAAAGGCGTCGTGGTGCATGAGGGCGGAGAGCAGCTTTGTAATCCAGGTATCGCAGTCCACGCGCAGCAGGTCCGGCACCGACCAGCACAGCGCATCCAGCACCTCACAGCACTGCACCATGCCTCGCAAGGTGGTCTGCTGCCAGCTGCGGTGCAGAAAGACGTTCAGCAGGGGGTACATGGGCGCGATACGACGGCCGGCCATTAACACGAGATCGAAGAGGCTCCGCAAAAACAGCAGCCACAGGTTTTCGCTCAGGGTGCCGTGCATGCGTCCGCGGACGCCGTCGTCGCCGCCTGCGCCAGCCTGCGCTGCGATGGACGAACTCTTCGCCTTTTCGCTGGAGGCGTCCTCCTTCTTCATAGTGCCTCGTCTGTCGTTCTTCGGCGTCATGAAGAAGGGCGACGGCGGCGCGCGGCTCCGCAGTGGGCGCGCGTCCTTTCGCTCGAGCAGGTCAATGACGAGTGTCAGTACACCGGGAAGGTAGAGGTCGAGGTGGCGCACGGCCATCGTGTTGGTGAGGATGTTCATGATCGCCAGCAAGCACTCGCCCAGGCCATCCTGGGTGAGACTCATGGTGCCGTTCACGTAGCCGGAGGCGGTGCGCATGAGGGCCCGCAGCACCGTATCCGGCCACACCATCGCCGTAAACGGCATAAAGCGGTCGACCTTCTGCAGCTGCCCCAACGCTTGGTGTGCGTTGTCCGCCAGCTCAACCCCCGCCGGCCAAAAGGAGCGCATTGCGCTGGGCTTACCGAACACGCCTGCCAACGACGACAGCGGTGGGATGGCGTAGCGGTTCTGCGGACGACGCAGCAGCGCCGGTGCCCGCGGTGGCATCTCCGGCTGCCACGGCTCGATGTTGCTGATGGTGCCCAGCAGCTGCAACACCGCCATCGAGAAGTCCGTTCCGACGGACGGCTTGCGGTACAGCAGGGAGTGCAGACACTCCACCAACACCGGCAGTGACTGCGGCGAGCACTGTGACAGCTCGGCGGACTGCAGGAGGGTCTGCAGGGCAGCGACAGCCGCCAGCACACGCGGGGTGTCGCCCTCGCCGTCCGCGAGTTGATCCGCGATGAGGTCCACGAACGGGTCGAAGAGAGCGGACTGATCCTGGGTGCAGTCGTCGCGCAGGAAAATGAGGAGGTGCATCGCCTGCAGCACCGACCCCCGCCCCGACGACGCGCAGCGCAGCACGGAGTACACAATCGAAAGCAGTTGCGAGAGATAGAGCGGGGTCGACTGCTTTAGTCGGGAGGCGATGTGCGACAGCACGTACAGCGAGTCCTCGGGCACCATCCTGCACGGCATGCAGTAGATGCCGACGGCCGCCGCGGCTGCCGAGCTGGCGGTCTCGCCGCTGCGTCTTTGTCTGCCACCGTCACGCTGACTGAGACTTGTCACGCTACTGGTCATGTCGGCAATGTAGCGCACCATCACTTCGCGCAGACGGGGGTAGATGAACGGCGGGTTTAGCGGGGCTAGTGCGCACAACAGCTGCGCCGCCTTCACACGATTCGGCAAGTAGCTGTCCCACAACACAATAAAAAGCTGGTGCAGCACGGTCTCGTGGGGGTACAGTAACTGGTACGTTTCCGGGGTCAGGCTCTCTAGCGCGCACCGTCGGATCAGCGGCTCCGGATCACACACGGCGACCTCGACCAGATGATGCACGATCTCGCGAAGGGCGTTGATGTGCGTGCGTCCGTGGTGCTGCACTGTGTGCAGCGTGCCCACCGGTGTGCTGTTTGCCGGCGACGCGGCATGAAAGACCCGCATGCCATCGTCCACCAGCAGGGTTGCAGAGGCGGTGGTTCGAGTCGGGCCCACCATAACAGCGGCGGCGTTGCCCGCAGTGCTGTTCGCCCCGAGCAGGCCGCTGCTGTCGCGCATTGGAAGCCCCGCGCCGCTTCTCGCAATGGTTGCCGCGGTTGTCAAAGTCTGCCGTTGCTTCGCCACCCCTCCACCACCGCCAGCCGACGCCGCCGTCACCGCCCCACGCACAGCGGAGAGGGGGCCGGCAGGAAAGGCAGAGGCAGTGGTGGCGACGGCGGCGTTCGCGAAGGACACGTAACACGGTGAACTCGCCGAGTCGGCGTGGCCAAGGTCGCTGCCTTCACTGCGGGCGTCGCGCAACGGCACACGCGTGACCGCCGCGCTCACCGTCGCCCGGCGTACGCCGCCACTCCCACCATGCAGGGACGTGTTCAGCATCCCAGAAAGAAAAGAGGCGCTCGAGATAGGTGAGTTGGGGTATGCCATAACGGCACTGACGCCCCCACCCGCACCTCCGATGGGGAGCTGAGAGGAAAAGGACATGAATGTGGTACTTGTGGAGGTGCCGCCGCCGTCCGCCGCCGCCGCCGCTGCTGCGCTGCCCATTGTGGCAGGCATGTGCGGCGAGCCGGACAGCTGCAGCATCGTCCGCTCCACCGAGTGCCAGCAGTCTGACAGCGGCCAGCTGGTGCAAGCCTGCACACACGCCAGCCGCAGCTGGGCGTCGGGGTGGCGCAGGTAGGGCAAGCAGAACTCCAAAAAGAAGAGCGTTGTGCCCTCCCAAGAGCTGGGGAAGAAGCTGATGGAGCGGAAAATGCGGTGTTTGAGCAGGCGCACCTGCGCGGCACGGCGGCGCTGGGCGGTGCAAAGGGACACCGCTGAGGGCCGCCGTTGCCGCTGCAGGTGCGTTGGCGAGGAAGGCGGCACAAAAGAACTGCCGGCCGTAGCGGTTGTGGTGGCATGAGCGGGCCGCACATCCGGCCTCACTGTTGCCGCAGCAGCAGCAGTTGCTGCGATGGTCGCCAGCACCGGTGTTAGCTGCCCAGAGAGGCGATTTCCTCCGGTGGTGGCGGCTGCGGCACCGCGGCGCTGCTTTGCCTCGTCGCCCCCTGCAGCGGCTTTTGGCCGCAATGGCTGCGGCGGCGGTGCCGCCGGGGCGCCCGTCGCCCGTCGGTGCCGCGGCATCGCTGTATTGCTACCCACCGCGCTGCCCTGCGGTCCATGCCGGTCTTCCCCTTCCCCCACGTCGTCCGCCGTCGACAGCACCACCGACATGGACCGCGCCACCTCTGCTTGGCAGATGCGCGCCATCGAAGGAAAGACAGCGCAGATCGACGACGCCGTCGTCACACTCGCGATGCAAAACGGCTGCCGCAGGCCGACCTGCACCAGGCGGTCCACCAACGGCGCACACTGCCGTGCGCAGGCCAGCGATGGCATGTTGTGTGCAAGGATGACCAGCGCGGGCATGGAAATGCGTTGAAACATGCTGCGGGCGGCCGTAAGCATCATCCACTGGGGGTGGGCCGTGACGTTGGCGGCCGCACCTGCAGGGCCGACAGCGGCGGTGGTCAACGGCGGCGGCGGCGATGATGATGCCGTCCACGCAGCGGTGGAGGGGAAGGGGGTGGGGAGCCAAAACTGCGGCTCCTCCTCAAAGGCCATCAGACGCATCGCGTGGTGCAGCAGCGGGTAAAGCTTATGGCTCACGATGGTCTCGAACAGGGCGGGATAGGGTTCGGCGACGGTGCCGATGAAGAGTACCGCGTTCAGCAGCTCCGTCCCGTCCAGCACGGCCGAGTCGTGGCACAAGTTGACGGCACATGACGGCAGCAGAGAGCCCGGATCCACGACGGAATGCTGCCGCGACGTGGTGGTGGTGGTGCCGCCAGCATTCGCACCCGCCTGTCGCCCGTCCACGAACGCAGCAGCGGCGGTCTGCTGCGTTGTCGGCGCAGACGCGACACCGAACAGCTTCTCCGCCACCGTCGCGTCGTCGGTGCTGCGGTGCGTGGCTTGCGAGATCGTCCGCATCACCTTCACGGCACGATTCACGAGCAGCTGCGTGGCGGCCATCAGCTGCGTCTCCGAGAAACTCGCAGCGTAGTACTGCGAAAGGAGCGGAACAAGGCTCGTCAGCATCAATTCCGCTTCAACGCTCACCGTGAGAGGCGCACCGACGTTGGCAGAGCCGCTGTTGCTGGCGGTGGGCGAGGCGGCGTTGCCGGCCTCGTTACCATCCATCACCTCCACCTGCGAGGGCGCCTCCGATGGCGCGTCTGTGTCCCACGTAGGATGCAGACAGCGGTCCATCAGCCGTGCGACGGTCCAGCTCGGAAGAAAAAAGAAAAGTGGAGGTGCGGTGGTCGTCGTCGTGGTGTCCGCAGCGGCACGGCTACGCGCTGGTGAGCCGGTTCGCATGCTTGCTGCCGTCTTGGCCGGTTCCGCCGTCGGAGGACGGAAGTCGACGTGTCGTCGCGCACCGTCGACGTTGGCGGTGGTGCCAGGGAGCGGCACAGAAGTCTGCCGAAGCGACGGTACGTGGGTCGAGGCGGTCGACGAGAAGCGCGAGTGGGTGTACTGCTTTGTTGCCACCGCCGTCACAACAGATTCCGGCGCATCAAGGAGGTTCAGGGATGTAACGGCCACGGGTCGATTGCCTTCCGCCGCCGACGCGGACGTCTCCTCCGGCAACGGTGACGCCGAAGCCGAGTTTGGGCGATCGTGCTTGCAGACCTTCACTCCTGCGAGCGCTCGAGTGGTGCCGTCGTCGCCGACTGCCGTGACGGATGCCGTCGCCTCCACGTCCACGATGGGCGGCAAAAACATGTTTCGTGCTGCTGCCGAAAGACTCTGCCACTCCGGATCCGTCTCCTGTGCCGTATCCGACCGGTCGTAGTGCGGCACCGCCGTCGGCTTCAGGCTCGTCATGGCTGCCAGGGTCACGGAAAGCATAGAGGCGCTCACGCTCGGCCGCCCTACCGCCGCCTCGTCCCACGTCATCCGTGTTGACTCGCTCACCGACGTCGGCGACACCGGCTGTGCGCTCGCATCACCGTTGCCCAGTGCAACACCCGTCACCACCGCACGGACCTGCTCTTCGGTTACCAGCGGAAGCAGCAGCCGTACGTCCTGCGCAAGGCGGCAGCCGGGAGAGGAGGTGATGGACGTCCCGCAGTACGTCAGCATGGAGGACGCCGCGGTGCGGCTCAGCTCACAGCTTCCCCGGCGTACACCCGGAGCTGCCGTTGGTGAGTTTGCCGGAGCTGCGGCGGTGGTAGAGGTGGTGGTCGGAGGCGGAGGCGGGGGGACCTGAGGAACGAGGGCGTCGTACGCCGATGCCTTCGCTTTGGTGCGCGCAGCAGCAGCAGCCGAAGCACTCGTGCCTTCCTCGGTCTCTTCTCCCTCTTCCGCCTCGTCATCGTGCCCAGCGAGGCGCCACGCACACAAGAAGGCACCGATAGTAAGACACGCAGCGGCCACGGTGGACTCTAGCGTCAGGGGGCGCCCCGCCGCGCGAAGGCCCAGCGCGAGCGGCATCGTCCACAAGGCGTCGCGGTTCACGCCGCCGTCCGGCAACACGGAGCCCCAGAACGCGTCTGCCCAGCTCGACGACGCGCTCCGCTCGGTCGACATGCTCGGCCCAACGAAGCCACCCTTCTTCTGTCGCTGCGCCGGTGAGAGCCGGAACGAAGACGGAATGGTCGGCTGCCACAGCATGTGGAAGGTGGCGGAGGTGCTCGGTGCGGTGGGCAGGATAGGGCTGTGCGGCATCTCGTCTCGTCGCGTAGCCGCCATCATCGCCGAGCCCAGCACATCCGGCGTGAAGGTGACGCACGGGTGGAAAAGCTGGGGGGAAGAGAAACCTAGCGCGCCGTTGTTCAGTGAGCCGATGCCCCAGCCGTGCGTGGACGGCGTGGCAAGCAGCTCGACTGCCTGGTCCGTGTTCATGTCCAGCAGCATATCGTCCGGCACATCAATCAGCAACGGCGGGGATGGGTGCGCCGGGGAGAGGCGCCGTGTGGGGTCCGCTATGTGTACTGTCGCGGTCGACGTTGTCGCTGCTGCTGCCACGGCGGCGGATGACGTCTGCGGACCTGCAACGGTCACAACAAGTCCTCTATTCAGTACGCGAGTGGTGGCGTCCGCCGCCGCCGCACTTTCTGCTCCCTCCCGAGGGTGTCCTGCCGCAGAGGTGGACGTAGACAACGCAGCAGAGACGACACGTCGCGCCGCGCGCTTCAGCGAGCGCCACACCGACCTGGTGAGCGTCCCGTGCGAAGATGGCGCAGACGCGGTGGGCGCCGGTGACTCACTCGTCGTGACAGTTGCCGTTGCCGCTGCTGTGTGCAGCGGAGGTGGCGGAGACGGCGCGGGACTGCGCCCAGGCGCGGTTGCGGTGGTACTTCTCGGTCCCATCGTAGCCGTCTCGGCATGGGCGATGTGCGGACGATCCGCAACGTTCAGCAGGACAGGCATCAGACTCCGTTCGCTGCTTGCCGTCGTGGCCGCTACAGCGGGGCCGACACTGGTGTTGCTGCTGCTGCTGATACTGCTGCCTTCCGCCAACGGCGGTGACTGGCCGCGCCGACGCTGTCCGTGCTGCGGCTGCATCTCATTGAAATGGGTAGGAGGGACCTCATGGCGGCTGACGACGGCAGCCCCCGTCGTGTCGTTCCTCACCGCTGGTACGGCAGGTGTGGGGGTGTGCGGGCCGTTGAAAAGCAGGTTCACCGCACTCGCCACCACGTTCTGCACAGGTACGACCATCTGCAACTCCAAGGCAACGGCAAGCGCGTCCTGCATCGCACTCGCCGCCAAATCGCGCAGTGCGCGTCGCGGCGGCTGCGGAAGGTCATCGATGGTGTAGTAGTCCATCAGCGTCACCCACACCGCCAGAAGCAGGGTCGGCAGTCGCTCCCGCACGAGCGCCCGGTGCTGCAGCATCACGGTAGAATTCCGACTACCTAGGCTTGAGTTCTCCATCGCGAGGCTCAGCACCACACGCAGCATCAACAGCCCAGAGACGTACTCGGCATAGGTGCGGCCGTGGCAGAGGTAGGTCTCGATTAGCGTCAGCAGCTCCTGCGCCATATGGGCGTAGTCCGACGCGCTGGCGCCAACGCTGGGGCGGTAGAGCGAGCGCCACGCCTCCATCGCCATCAACACCGTGGAGAAGCGCGGAGACGGAAAAAAGAAGCGAATTTGATTAAAGAGGGCGAGGACGCGGTCACTGTTGCTGAGGTACGGGAAGCGGTACGGGGCAATGGCGATGATGTAGTGCAGCGCCACCTCCCGCTCGCCGCGTGCGATGAACGACTGAATAGTGTGATGCATGTGATGCAGCATCGAGGAGCCGCCTCCGCCGTTGGTGCTGTTGCCGGCGTTGGCGGTGTTTGGACTCGTCGTCAGCGTGCCTGGTACCGCACCACCACCACCGCCAGCGACCGAGGTGCTAAGCGACGGGGCCAAGGGCGATCCTGCGACGGGCCCGAGGGATGAGCTGGCCTGCGCGTTCGCCGTCGAGCTCGCTGCGTCATCGTCCATCGCGTTGGCGTGCACACCGGCACCAGCACCGCCGCCGCGTTCCGCCATTGCCCGGGACGGCGGCAGCGGCGACGCCGACAGATCACCGCGCACCCCCGGCCACATGCCCGACTCACCGAACGCACCCACCCGTGGGCCGGTGCTGGGGTGCGGCGAGGGGGCGGTGCTGTTGGCGCGTGTGCCGGGCACGCCGGGGCCCGCAAAGAGGTCGCCGTTTGCCGCCAGGTAACTCACGCCGATGTAGGAAATGCCGTCGTAGCCCGCCGTGGTGCCGTCACCACCGCTCAAAACCGCTGCCGCCGCAGTTGCTGCACTGGCATCGGCGCGTCGGCCCTGGCTGCCCGGTCCACGACCACCAACGCTCCCACCGTGATTGCCGGTGTTCGTGCTGCTGTTGATGGCACCCGCGCCTCCACAGCCGCCGCCCCCGGTGTCATTGGGGCTGCTGCCGCCACCGCCGTCCAGCCCGGCAACGACACCACCGTTGCGCTGCATCTGCTGCTGCTGCAAGAGAACCTCGGCGGAGATAGCGTCGAGCCCTGCCCGGTACCGCGCGGGTAGCAACTCGTACGAGCGGTGGGCGAAGTGCAGCGGCAGGGTGCGGAAGTTAGCAAACACGTTATGCGTCAACAGTAAAGCTATTTCCCCCTCGTCTGCCACCGTCCCACCCTCGCTGCCCTGCTCCGGTGGCGAAGATGCCGGTCGCTTGCCGCGCGAGATGGGCGTGTCCGCATCGCCGCTGTCCGCTGGCGGGGGCATCGTGCTGTGGGACGACGCCGGCGGCAGACGCGAGCTCGACCGGCGACGCCGCCCGTTACGTGAGGACAGCGTCGGGGAGGACGCAAAAGCGGTGTTGTGGTTGCCGTCTGCTCTGGAGCTGACCGCCTCTGCGCTGGGGCCGCCGGCTGTTGCAGCCGCCGCCTCGCTCAGCTGCTCTCCGCTCTCACCACTGAGTTGTCCCGTCATCTCTAGCAGGTAGAGCGACGCCGCGGCGCCGGGTGCGGAGGTGAGGGAGTCGGCCGGACTGGCGCCGTGCGGCCGTGGGAGGGTCGCACCGTCGCGGTTGCCAAACACGCGGGACCGCGGCCCGGCTGGTCGGAGGTCGGCGTGCAGTCGATTACTCTTGTCTGTCCCAGCAGAAGGATTCTCCTCGCCCGCACCACCCCCGACACGTCCGCGAGGTTGTCCGTCTCTTGTGTGGCCGGCCAAAGCAGCCATGACAGGGCTTCTGGAGCTGCGTTGCCGAATGGATGCAATAAGTCTGCTGCCGCGGGCGTGCAGGACGTAGTCGTGTTGCAGCGTCACCTGATGCTGCGTGAGCGACGACACACATGCGTGACCGCAGGACGGGTGTTCGAGGGCGTCCACCGCAAAGGTGACCGCTTCCTTGCGGCGACGGCGCAAGGCAGCGGCATGAAAGCGCAGCGTGTTTTCGTCCTGCACGTAATGAAGAAGGGGGTGCAGGAGCAACTCCGCGTCCGCCTCCGTGTACTGCGATGCCGTTGGGTCGCACACCGGGTAGGCGGAGGGCGTCTCGACGGACGTGTTGGAGGTGGGAGGGTGGACGGCGACGGCGGCACACGAGCTCGCCGCACCGAGCCGCGTCGGGGATGGCAGTCCGCCGAGATTCGCTGCTGCCCCTCCCACCCGGCTCGATGGCCCACCGGTCATGCGAAAGGCGGCGGCGGCGCGGGCGGCGGCTGAAGGGGAGGTGGCAGCGCCGGTTAGGGTACGTGAGAAGCTGTTGTAGCTCGACCCGTGCGGCGCCACTCCGCTCGTTTCAAAGTCAGTGTTCAGCGGTGCGCGGAAGAGCGGGGAGGACAGGGTGCCGTGCCGTCGTGCGCGGTCACCGCCGTCGGGGTAGCGCGTGGCGCGGGTTGCAGCGCGAGGCGACGCCGCACCGGCCCCGGCAGCCAGTGGATGTGGGTGTTGCTGCATTCCTGCCCTGGTGGTCGACGTCGTCGTGGCCGCCATCCCACTAGCGCTGGGAGAGCCGGGAGAGATAGGCGAAAAAGAGTTGGGCGAGTCGATCGGCAGCGCTGGTGACTGCGGCGGCGTGAGCGCAGCGGACGAACTCGGTGAGGAGGGCTGGCCATACGGGTTGGGGCCGGTGCCCACACCGCTGCTGCCTCCTCGTCGACGGACAGTGGTGGTGGTGGCGGCGGCGGCCGGGCTGCGGCCACCGTGGCGCCTCAGCAGAGCTGCTTGGTAGAGGGAGCTGGAGGCGGTGGTGAAGTCGACGACGGGGTGCGGGCTACCGGCGGTGACCTGCGCATCCTGGGACGGCAGGTCGAAGAAGTGGTTGGTGATGTGCGCCAGTCGAGTTGGCATGATGAGCGCTGCACAACGAAAAGCAGAGGAGAAAACAGTACAATAAAACAAGCGCTAACCGAAGAGATGGCGGGGGAGGGAATTGCAGCACACGCACCGGCGCCGCTGAAGCCAACGACTGTGACGTGCGAGGAAGCGGATGAGGTGTGAAAGCCAAATCTAACAACGACTCTTCCCTCTTCAACTGATGCTGCCTTTCCTTTCCTTTCCTTTCCTTTTCTCTTTGTTCTGCCTCTTCACCGCGTCAAACGGGGCCCAAATCGGGAGGGGGACCACAAAACAAACACAACGAGAGGCAACGTTGCAATGACGCTGACACTTGAGTGGCCTCCTCTTTCACGGCCACCGCAGCAGCAGGTGTGCGAGACCAAAGAGAAAAGGAGAAATATGTATTGAGAGAGAGAGGGAACGGCAAACGAACGTGATGAAGCGCAGAAACCAAAAGGAAAGAGGAAAACAGGGGAATTCAGAGCAGACAAAGCAGCAACAACAATAAGCCACACGCAGAGAGGGAGAGAGAGAGAGACAACCGAATCAACGCGTGTACGCAGTCCTTAAATGAAGCAGACCACCCGGCACAACGTAAATCTTATGTAGAGGCGATACAGAAGAACCCAACCTGAAAAAAAAACAAGGAAAAAGAAGAAAGGTGTGACGCTGCACAGGACACAATCGAAGCACACACACCGCTTCCCTTGTTGGGCATTTAAAGACACCAAAGTGGCGCCCCCTCTCGCCGTCCCGCTGTGTTGTTTTGGATATGCGTGTTGTGCTGCAATGAAGAACACGCAAGGAAGAAAAAAAAGAGCTGCTTCGTTTTCAGGGAAAGCAGTTCGAAACAAAACGCAGCCCGGCAGTCCAAACACAAAAAACCTACAGAGATAATCGGGGAAGAAGAATAATAATCGTGTGTGAAGAAGACAGATAAGAAGCTCTGTCTTGACCGCTGTTCCTATGCTCCCCGATATAAAGAAAGAAAGGTGATATAGGAGGCAAAGCGAAGAATTCGAAATGAGATCAGCGAGACGCGCAGGCAAGAACGCGAGAGCACCACTACCGCTGTATTCTATTTTCCTGTTCTCTCGTTCATCATCGAAAGTCAATGTAAACAATCTTGGAGGAAGAGGAAAGAAACGGAAGTGTTGTTCTGCCCTGTTGACGTTGTTTTATATATACTTTTTTTTTCTTCTTTTCATTTCGGCAAAGCTTCTTCCGGGGCAGCATTCATCCAGGAGTATTCGAGTGTCGTACACGACAACTGAAAGCAGTAGCTCTCTTCCACTTTGAAAGCGGTTGGCGGAGGCATTTCGTTAATGTTTTGGTTGCTGATGATGTTGTTCTTTCTGAGCGCTGGTGCACATGCCCCTTCGGTCACTGCGAATCCAGACATCAACACTGTGAACTACAAAAAAAAAAGCAAGCCTTGGGGGAGGATTTTAATATATTTTTCTCCTCCCCGCTCCTGCCCTTTTCTTCATCGGCGGACTCCTCATCCGTGCTGCTCCACGCTGTTACTTCGCTGCTGGCCAGACAAGATCCATGCTAGCCTGCATCTTCGCTATCGACAATCCGTTCGACGCAATGTACTCCTCTAGCGCGGTCGCCTCGTCGGCGTAGCGCGACACCCGCTCGCAGGTGTGCTGAAAGTGGTGTGAGTCCTCAGCGATCAGGTAGGCGCCATGGCGGGCGCACACGACGACGGCGCAGAGGCCGCCGATGGCAAAGTACTTGCTAAACGCCGCTACACGTATTCCACTCATCGCGAGAGACGCTAAAAACAAAACTAGGTAATTTGTGAAGATAGGCACTATTATTGCTGTTCAGAAGAAAGTGAGCGCAGACGATACGGTTGATGACAAGCCCTTTTTTAATTGCTGAAGTTCGGGCTGACGAATTTTTGCTTGTTTGTTTTCGGGGCCTATCGCCGCTTTGCGCGAGTCCGTCGATGATGGAGGACACACACTTATATATGTATATATATATATATATATATACTTCCTCCTGGAAAGAAAAACCTGAAATGAGTTCCCACACACACCACGGCGGAACAGCGGAAGAAGAAAGCAGTGCGGAGGAGACAGAAGGCGATGTAAATGAAAACCCACGAGTCGGTTAGAGGGAGAACCTCAGACAACGCAGAAGAAGAAACGGCAAAGAGGAAAAGAGCGAGGTGTGTTTAGCCAATGCCCTCCCGCCCGCCTTTTTCTATTCCTCCCCCTCGCATTCACCCCTCCCTCCGTCAAAACACGTGTGGTGCGACTCAGCACCTGCGACGAGCACGGGGACGAGGAATGAGTGAGAAACGAAGAAAAGCAACCTTTCTTTCAGTAACAACCCTATCTGCCCGTCGTGTAAGCTCCTAAAGGTTTCTCAGCACGTTTTGCGTGTGTGTGTGTGTGTGTGTGTCTATCGCAACGCGGTGACTTCGATCGCACCATCAATAAACAAGGTACCGTACGAAATTTTCGTTTTCATATAGATACAAACACGTTGAAAGAGGAATCGCCACCGAAGAGCTGCCAATAACAAAAGAACCAAAATAATGTGAACGTTAATAACTCCTTAATTACGTCTTAAATGGAAGAGGACAAGCACGGTCGAAGGATAAAAACAAAACAAGGGAGAGAACAGGCATGTTTTGTTTGTACGTGTGTGTGTGTGTGTGCGTGTGCTTCTTCCTTTTTAAAACAAGCGCGCATGTCGCGCATTTTCTTTTTCTCCTTCTTCTTTCATTTGCACCTTTCACTTCCGCACAACAACAGAAGAGCACTGCACATCGCAGCTTTGCATCAAGTCCAATGAGCCGGAACACGTACGTACGTGCCTACGCGATCCACATTGGCGTTCCGATTGTATCCGCAAAGCACGTGCACGGCGCGTACAGAGAACACAAGAACAGCTCGACAGAGAACTGCGCACCTTCTGCGGGACACGTGCTGCCCCGCCCACCCGATGAAGCACGACCCGCCACGCAGGAGCATCTTCTATTAGTCCGTGCGTGTGTGTCTGTGTGTGTTTACGCGGCCACCTCCTTTTTCTTGTGGAACGCAAAGGTCAGCGCACTCGGCAGACCAGGACGCTCCACTGTCGCGCAGTAGTCCTTCAGCTCCTCATTGCTCTCGCACGCCGTCGCAAAGGCAAGCAGCGAGGCCGCCACGACGCGCGCCGTCTTCTCCAGGCCCTCCGCCGTGCGACGGATGGTGCCCTTGCGGACGTCGTCCAACGTGCTGGTGGACAGAATCGCCTTCAGCTTCTCCGACGCGTTGCTGGCCACCTCGGCCGCCTTCTTCGCGTACACGGGTATCTTGCTGGCGTCGTCCAGCGAGGGCCGCCCACTCATGCAGCGCTCGTAGGAGCGGAGCGGCGGGCTGCGCAGCTGACCGTAGCACAGCAGCAGACGGTGGTTGAAGACGTTCTCCACGCTGATCAACGAGTGCTTCGGCGCGCTTACGAGGTCAATGAGGTTCTTCTTCTCCATGAGGCAGGCGGCGAGGTAGGTGGCGTCCGAGAGAGAGCAGCACGCGTCGAGGATGCCGTCGCGGGCCAGGTCCATCTTCGCCACCGTGCGCGTCGTCAGCGCAAGATTGTGCACCGGCACGTGCGTGCGCTTGTTGATGAGCGTCTTTGGAATAAACTGCGTGCTCTGCAGCGCCAGCGCCGACAGGTTCTCCACCTGCGCCCGCTGCGCAAAGTTAATGTACCACAGCGCGGGCACCAGCTCCCCTTGCGAGAGCAGGTCCAGCTCCACCTCGAAGTTCATGATGATCTCCATCGCGCGCAGGACGTAGTCGTTGGAGAAGAGAGTCAGCACCGTGCTGCAGCGGATGCACTCCGCCTCCAGCTCCTTCGACACTCCAGGCGCGTTCGCCAAGAAGATGGAGAGGTCCGCCGTGTAGGACTGCTCCTGGAAGCGAATGAGGTCCGCCATCAGGTTCATCATGCGGCGGTGGGCCAGGCCGCGGTTGCACAGCATCGTCTCAAGAAACACAAGGTACAGCTTGCACGCCTCGCGCGTCCAGCGCGCCATCGTGTCGATGGTCTGCTGGCGCAGGAACATAAAGTAATCCGGCGTGATCTTGGACGGGTCCATCGTCAGCTTCACACGGTACTTCACTACACCATCCACCGTCGCCTCATCACCCTCAAACACCTTCTGATAAAGCGGGGCACCGTACTTGTTGGATAGCGTCTCCAGCAGACGACGGTGCAGGGACTGTCCGTGCAGGAAGGACTCGTTGGGGTCCTTGCTGAACAGCACGACGGCGCAGAGCGACCGCACCGGCAGCAAGGGCAACAGGGCACCAAAATTCTGGATGAAATCGGCAATGCAGGCAAGAGACTCGATGTTCACGAGGGTCTTGAAGGAGATGAGCTGCTGGAGCATCTGCCGGTACGCGGCCATGGCATCCGCAAAGCTGGTGGAGGGAAGCGCCTTGGTGGGGGTGATGACGCTCACCCAGAAGGCGATTTCCTTCTCGCGCAGCAGCGCCGCCGCCGGTGCCGGCTCACTCGTGCGCTTGTAAAGACCCCCGTCCAGCAGCGCCAGGGCTTCCTGGCAGATGTCGCAGCCGGCCTCGACGTCGCTCTTCTTCTTCGCGTCCAGCAGTAGGGAGAGGGCGGACACAAAGTGCTTGCGGAAGCGCAGGCGGGCAGCCACGGCCGGGCTCGACGCCTTCGCCGCCGCCGTCTCCAGCTCGGCGATGATCTCGTCCACGGTGCAGTTCGGCTGGCGGTCCAGTTCCGGCGGCACCAGCATGAACTCCTCATCGCTGCGGTTGGTCGTGGAGAAGACGGCGCGCAGGACGCAGTCGAGGGAGCGCAGCACGCCGCGGCAGTAGGCGTGGAGAGTGGCGTTCTGCTCCTTCAGCAGGTCCATGCGGAGGAAGTAGGGGAAGTCGAGGTAGCTCTGCGTGAGAGAGTAGCCCTGCAGGTGGTTCAACTCCTTGACGTGGATGTAGTCCATCACATCGAGCAGCGCCGCCTCGGAGTCAATGGTCGCCGCAGATGGAATCTCGCCCGTCTTGAGCAGGTGGGTGAGGGAGTGGATCTTCTCGTAGCCGAAGCCGGAGTCCGTCTTGGGATCCATGATCTCGGGGGCGGACAGGATCACCTCCTTGTCCACACCGTCGAGGCAGTGGCAGCTCCAGGTCGACTCGCCCTTCAGGGAGTCCTGGAAGAGGCCCATGGCATCCTCCCAGGTGTCGTTGAGGTCGCACAGGGGTTGGGCGGGCTGCATCGTTGCTGGCGTTCAACAATGATCGTAAAACACACACAGGATAAATAAAGAGAAGCGTAAAACTCGGAGAGGGCGTGCGTGTAGGGGGGCGGGAGAGGGGAGCAGCGAGAGAGATCGGACGGCTTCAAGCTGAGTGAAGTAGGTGTGCTAAAGAGAAAAATAGATAAACTAAGAGAAAGGAGGTCTGTGAACAGAAACACGCGCGATAGCTGGAGAAGTGAACGAGACGAAGACGCGAGCCGACAACGAAGGAAGGAATACAACGAGAGCTTTTCGAAAAAGAAAGAGGAAGAGGAAGAAAAACCGATTGACGCGGATTACCTGTGGAATGCGTGTGGGTGGGGTGTACGTGCGCACCGTCCCAAAAACCTGACGGTCACGGAGCAGGGGGAAGAATAATCATCATCATAATAATAAAAGAAAAGCAAGGAAACAGAAAGGGTGAGTGAGTGAGTGGGCGTACGGTGGATCGGGGGAAGAAAGAAGAGGAGGGGAAAACAGCCACGTTGTAATGCGTCGTTCATCCTCTCGACTCAGGCGTGAAACACAGAAGGAGAGAGGGAGGGGAAGGGGGAGGAAACGGATTTCCAGTCTCCGGTGGCGGCAGTTCGGGGCCACGTTATATGTTCCGTTTGCTTTGTGGATTTCTTTAGTTGCACCGCGATCAGAACAGAAAAAAAGAAGAAAAGAAAACCGTTTTTTTGGTGATGTGATACGCACTTGCAAGTAATAGTAATATTAATAGTAATCCATTCACATAGATATAACGTCTTTGGTCAAGACCGACAGCGAGATAATCAAAGAAATCAAAGAAATCAAAGAAATCAAAGAAATCAAAGAAAACACACACACACACATGTATATACATAAAGGTACATATAGTACACGAAAACACACCTTTTGGGTAACGTCGCCAAAAACAGAAATATATGAAATAAAATACACGCCGTTTTCCACTGCGGAGAAGAGTAGGCCAAACGCAGTTCTCACTGCACGCCACGTCACGTGGACGTTTCGTGCCGCTGCGACGGCGGGGGGTTGTCGCGGAGGAAGCGCCGCACCTCCCCAAGCACGGCCGGGAGGGTGCTGCGCGACGCTGACGCAGGCGACGATGACAACAAAACCGCTGCTTTTCCGACTTCCTCGAGGCGGACTTCGCGCAGCATCGCCGCCATCGCCGCCGTCTCCACCGCCTCCACGCTGCGACCGTTGTGTCCCGCGTCTTTCGTGTAGGCAGTCCACCAGGTCCACAGCCGCTCCAACAGCTCCTCCTCGGACAGCGCGACCTCCTCCACCACGCGATCTTCGCGGTGCTGCTCCTGCTCGGCGTCGAGCCACAGCGTCTGCCGCGCCTCCAGGGCCTCGCGGGGTTCAACCGTGTACAGGCGTCCGTAGCAGCCAATCCGCCACGCACCATCCGCCAGCAGCTGCAGCGTCGGGGGCACCACCATCCAGCTTGTGCTGGGCAGCGACGGCGACGGGGCGGAGCGCAGCCGCGGCGTGCTGCTGAGGCTCGCCAGAAAACCGGTGCCCTGCGGGTGGCTCAGAGGAGGGGGGGCGTGTGGGCCGGGTGAGACGCGACCGTCCTCGAGGCGAGCACGAGAGGCCGCGGCAGCAGCCGCAAAGCTGTTGTGCAGATTGGGGGACGAGGCGGCGGAGACCGGGTTTGAGGGGGAGGTCGGAGAGGCGTAGTGGGGCACGTAGCTGCTCCGATGCATCATGGCAGAGGTGGGCGAGGGGACGCTGATGGGGATGTCTCTGCTGGCCGGGTGACCGCTGCGGCTCGCCGAAGCGCCAGACGCCGGCCCCGCCGTCTCCCCTTGCGACTGCTGCCGCTGCCGTCGGTGCTGCTGCTGCTGTCCCTCAGACGCCGTCGCCGGTTCGTCATTGCGAGGAGGAAAAATTCTGCTGGCCATCGAGTACATCCGCATGGCGGGGAAACTGTGTTCGGCAGTTCTGGTGGGGCTGCTGTCAGCATCCATCTCGGCAAAGGTGAGCGGGGTGGAGAAGAGCGTATTAGGTGTGGCCGACGGGGTGCCGGTGGCGCCATGCGGGGTAGGAAGGTCGCTCTCTGACCGAAACGGCTGCGCCGACGCGGTGTAGGTGGTGGCGTTGTTCCCCGACGTAGGTGAGCCGGCTGGGCTGCTGATGCTGCCGCGGTGCCAGTTCGTCTGCCAGGGTGGCGTCAGCGTCAGCGGCATCGAAGGGAGCGGCACGGGGCGCGAAGCAAGGGGTGAGGCGGAGAGGAAGGGCGGGGCAGCCGCGGCAGCCGCCGCCGACGTGGCGTTGGAAGTGGTGGTGGTCTGTGACGGGCGAACGCTTGTGGCTACTGCTGCTGCGGCGTCGACTGCAGTGTCAATAAATGCCGACAGCCCCACGCCCGCGTCTGCGTCGCCCTCCCCCGCCTCCTCCGCACCGTCACCGCTGTTGTCATCGTGGTGCACCGCGATGTCGGCCATCTCGTTCGAGATGGAGTCGCCCGCGATAGAGAAAAGATGACGGTTGTTGTGCGAGTGGGCAGCAATGGACCAGCTGTGCAGCGAGCTCTCCTCGGGTGGCCGCCCCAACGCAGGCCAGTTCAGCGGCGACGCTTCGAAGTTGAGGGAGGCGCGACTGGTCGGGGAGACAGGAAACGACGTGGAACGGATTTGCGGCATCGGAGGGGGAGGAGGAGAAGCGGGCTGGAGGGCGCTCATCGCCGCCGTGCTTCCATTTTCTGCGTTTGGGGACGAGGAGGTGTTGCTCATGGCGTACCTTGGTGGTAGTAGCGGGTCGCCGCCACTCGTGATGGACGTGGGCTGCAGCAGATGCGGAGCGACAGGCCAGCCGTAGGAGAGAGGAGTTGCCCTGATGGTCGTCCACGGCGCACGCGCGCTTGTCGTTGACACCTCAGCAGCAGCAGCAGCAGCACTCTCACCGCGTGGTTCGTCGGTGGATGCCGCACCCACTGCCACAGCCACAGCTACACTTTCGTTGCCGCTGTTGTTGGGCGAACCATTTTCCACCGGTGCGTGCTGCGCCGCTGCTTTCTTCAGCGCGAGTTCCCTCGCCTCCCTTAGCGCCTTCACGCGGAGGGTCACCAGCAGCTCGACGTAACGCATGGGCAGCCCCCGCCAGAGTCCGCGATGTGTGTCGGTTCGCAAGAACACGTTCAGGTGCTTGCGGATCCACTGCTCACAGAGGACCTGCATGGCTGGCAGGTGCCACTCCACGGCAGCCGTCCACAGCGGCAGTACATCGCCCGACACCTCCAAGAGACGCCACAGCACGTTCAGCATCGCCTGGATGAGGAAGGTGAGGTTGGTGTAGGAGCCGATCGAAAACACCTCCGCGAACTGCCAGGCGAAGCTCGACATCGCGCCGGCGCCCAACACCCCGCAGCGGGCACTCATAATATCCTCGTAGTTGTGGAAGAGGGGCAGCGCACCGGTGTAGAAGTAGTGGATGAGCTGCGCCACACCGGCAGCCGTGAGCTGCGGCCCCTCCAACTCCTCCTGCACCCCGTCTGTGGTCGTTTGTTGTTGCCACAGCTCGTGGGTAAAGGCACCGTCATCGCATCCGGGCCCGTGAAGGTAGAAGGCCGGCACACATGTGGGCCGTGCATCGGCGCGAGTCTCCGCGAGGTGTCCGGGAAGACCTGGCGCAGCATCCTGGCGAGTGGTCGAGGAGGTGCTCCCGCTTTCGTCGGCCTCCACCTTCCACGGTCGCCACCGTCCTCGCCAGCAGCGCTCTGCCGTGTTCGCATGCTCCCACTCCGGCTGGCCTGCGTCTCGGGGACGCAGCTGCTCCTCGCCGGTCGCCGTGTCCATTGCCCTGTCTTGGTGCAGCACCACCGTCTCCGTCGTGACCCGTGGAAGATCGGCAAGATCCACGTACTCGTCCGGCGCGCTGCGCACGTACGGGCTGCCGGTGTCACCAAACAGCGCCGCAAAGAAGAAGCCCTGCTTCTTCATCACATCGGCGTGCACGGGGAAGTACGTCACGACACGCTCGACCGTTTCCAAGGAAGACGAAGGCGAGGCCCCGTCCGTCGATGTACGAGAGCCGCCACACTCGTGCGACACCTGTGGTCCGTCGCCGTCGTCGCGATCGCTCGTGCGTGCGGTGCGGCCCCCGGCGCGTCGCTCCACTACCGCCAACGCGGCGTCTGGTGGGGCGCTGGTGGACCAGCGGAAGCGGTCGGTGGCTAAGGTCTTGTGCGAGGTCACCGCCACGCCGGCGGGAACGACCAGCAGCACGCCCGTGTCCTGCACCTCGTCGAAGTTGCCGTCCGGCGGCGGCGCCGTCGGGGACGCCGCCGTGCTGCTGACACCGGCCGCCTTCATCGCCGTGAGGCTCCCATCTGCCTCACCAACACTCCCAGAGCCGCCGCCGCTGTTGCTTTTAGCGGGAACGTTGGGGAAGCTGAAGTCGAATGTGGTGGTGGTGGCTGCGGTCGTCTCGCATGGCGTGAGCGTGTGTAGCAGACCCTGCTGCGCGAGGGACGACGACGACGGCGACGACGCGAACGGGAAGGCGCGGAGGTCGCCGGACGGGTTGTTGCGGTACCGCGGCGGGGGCTGGCTCGGTGTCTGCCAGGCCGGTGACACACGCTCTTCGATGCCGGAGAGCGCAGGGGGCAGCAGCTGTGGCGGGGAAAGTGGCATGGCCGTCGACGTGGTAGCCGTGGCCGTCGAGGGCATCGCCGGCGCGGAGGAGATGGGGGAGACGGGCGAGCTGAAGATGGGCTGCTGCGCAGGCGTGGGCCGGACCGGGCCAAAGCTCACCGGCCCAGACGAGGGGGACGCCATTCCACCTCCCTCCCCAGCCCCTCCCGCCGGTGGTACGGCGAAGGGCGATGACCTGCGGTTCAACGTCGCGCCCGCCACCGCAGCAGACGCACCGACAGGGGAGAAGCTGAAGACGCGTGAGCGCAGTTGCGAAAGCGGCTTGTGCTCCACCGCCCACTCCGGCCCATGTGAGGCGAAGAGCGACGTCGTCGCAGCGTCGTCGCCGCCACGGTGCACGGCGATAGAAACAGAGGGCGACGATGACGGCTGCGGCTGCGGCTGCTGCTCATGCTGTCGGCTGTCGTCATGGGATGGCATCACCGGCTGCATCGCGCGAAAGACAAGCGGGGAAGCTGGGGACGTGGTCGCCGTCATCGTGACAGGGGATGAAAGCGTCGTCAGCCCGCTTGCGACATCTCTGCCGCCGCCACCCGCTGATGTGTTGGACGCCTGCGCCGCCACAAACTCTGGCGTGAAACCGGTAGCGGCCCCACCGCGGCCCAGGTGCTGACCGGCGGTGGAGGTGACAAAGAGCGAGCGCGGTGTAACCGTCCTGGCTGCGTTGCTGGGTCGTCCCGCCAGCGGGCTCTCATTGCGAGGCATGTGCGAGGTGATGGTGGACACACTCATAAACCCATTCGACGCTGCCACGCCGACCCGCGGCTGCGGCGACGCCAGCTGTTGCGCCGCTTCCTCTTCTTCCTCCTCCTGTTGCCCCTGTGACGGGGGATGCGACTGCGCAGCCTCGCTGACGGTGGCGGCGGAGGACGAGACGTTGGCGGAGAGCTGCGTCTCAGCGCCAAAGTGATGCCGCGGCGACGCAGCACTGCAGACGAGAGGGCGGGCCACGCGCGAGGAGACACCGGAAACGGGACTGCCGCTGCTGCTCAGCCCGGGCGTCACCGGCACCTTCACGTGCGAGATCAAGCTGCTGCCCTGCACAGCCTCTGCTGCTGCAGGGACGCGCCGCAGGGGTCCGACGGCAAAGGTCGCGGACTCTTCCGTACGGGGTGGGGTCGCGAAGTATCCTCGTCGTTGACCAGAGCTGCGGCGGTCAGCGCCGGCAGCTCCCGCCCTTTCACGCTCCTCCGCGCTGCCCGCGGCACGGCTTGGATGAGTACTGTTCTCATCTTCCGCTACCGCCTGAAAAGTGGCGTTGCTACTACCGTCATCACCACCGCTGCCATTACTGCTGCTGCTGCTGCTGCTGCTTGTACTGCCATCATTCGCTCCCCTGACGATGTGAGGAAGTGGGAATGGTTCTGAGTTAGCGATGCTGGGGGGACGGTGGGGCTCCACAACGACGCGGCCGCCCCCGCCACCATTTCCCCCTCCTGGCCAGTGCCACTGCCGCTTGAGCAGCTGGAGTGGCGAAGCGTCATCGGGGTCTGGGAAGCAGGAAGGGCTTCGTCTCGAACCCGCCCGCGACGCTGCTGCTGCTGCTGCCGCGGCGGTGGGTTTCCCATAGCACACCGCGCAATCCGGTGTGACGGTGTGGTGGGCATCGCACGGGTGGGGCAGCAGCGTTGCCGCCTTGCACCGCCTCTGCACTTGCTGAATGTAATAGCTGCCGTCCAGTCGGATACTGCGACGCAGCAGCATTCGTGAAGAGGTCACCGCCGCTGCATCCTGCGCTGCAGAGAGCAGATTACCTGACCGATCATGACCCGATGCTGGCGATGAGTCACACGTGTTCCCTGACGGCGAGAACTCCTGGTGCACCGGCACGTCTGCGAACTCGCTTCGAAGTAGCTCCTCCGAGGTGGGCAGCAGCGGCGTCACCGTCGCTGTCGTGTGTCGTGTCAAGAGCCGCTGCGGCTTGCTGGACCGTGCGGCACGCCGCATCACACCTGGCTTCCACCGATACAAGAAACCCTCCGCCGATGGTGCACCGCCATCGCTGCCCGGCAAGGTGGAGGCGGTGGGCATGGGTCCGTGGATGCTGGAATGGTTCGTGTCAAAGGTGTTTCCTGCCCCAGTCGTGCTGCTCTGCGCGTACGACTCCGCGCATCCGTACGAGGCCGCAGGGGAGTGGTAGGCGGTGGTGGACGCGGTCGTGGACAGGTTGAGGGCACCTGGCAGAGTCTCATGTGCGTTTGACGTTGGTCCCCATGACAGCTCAGAGTACCATGAAAGCGGCATATCAAAGGAAAAAAAAGCCGGCACAACTTCACGTACTTCTTCAAATACAAAACCAAAAATGCAAACAAAGAAAAACACCAGTGGTAATTAGCTGGAAAATATATGTTAATAAAATGTGTAAAAGCAATATATATATATATATATATATATATATAACGAAAT